ATTTCGTATTTCTCCGTATTCTATCCGTTTGCGAACTCCGTATCCGATCCGATTGCGAAGGATAAACAAACAGATCCGTTCGCGAACTTAAACCTTTGTCTGATTCGCGAATGGATCCGTTTGTCCGCGAACGGACAGAATACGGAGGAATACGGAACAATGCGTTGTGGTTTTCTGAAAACGGGTCGCGTGCGGTCCGTATGCGGTTTTTATTTTGACCGCGCGCGAACGCTGAGCACCCGTAACGGATCCGTTCGCATTTTATCTGTGGGCACTGATTTTGATAAGTGAATTGAATAAATATTGTTTAGCATGTTCTTTTCCTTTTATTTTCTGAATTTCACTGTACAAAAAATTGTTTCACTTTGTTCCTGAACCCTGAGAAATTATCCTGCTGAGAATGTAGCAAAAATGAATTTTAAAATCTCTTTAGTGTGGTCCCCATTCCTCACGTATTTTTTCTATGCACATTTTTCTATTTGCTTCTATGGAGATTCCCATTTAATCATCCCATGCCACATTATAGAATCATGCTTTCACTTTATGTAAAGTCGATCTTCATATGACCACTCTTCTATATCTTGTTCAAAATTTTGATTCAAATACTTGACAGGTCCCGTTTTTTCTATATATTTTTTTTTAAGTTAAACCTTGAGAATTCTTTCTTATTATCTTTCTATATCTTTTTAAACCAGCCTTCTAACTTTCTATTTACAATTCTGTTGGCAGAAGTTTCTTTGTCGTCTCATAATCACAGTTAGGGTTATTGTGGAAAATTATCATTCCTCCAAATGTTGTAAGTCACTTTGATATCAACAATCTTGGATTCTTCGAAAGATAAAAATGCAGAATTCATTTTGAAAAACAGCGCTTTCGAGATATACATGTTTTAGATGTTATGTTGAAGGAAATACAGGGTCACTTAAACACTCTAACTCAACCCCCGTTCTTTCAACTTTAAACCAAATTATGCCAATTTCTGTGCTTGATATCAAAAAGTGGTCAAACTATTTTCGGCATTATAATAAATATTTTATTAGCTGACTCTATCTGATTACGGTAAGTGAACTTCTCGAAATCTAGATTTTCATTTTTAATGATGTTCTCTGAGTGTTTCCTTCACGTTTTCTATTTGAGCACCACGATGTCCGCCGTAAATCAATCAGTTGTCTCTGTAATTTTTGTGAAGCTTCAATTTGAGAATCACATCTGACAGGCTACAATTTTTTCGTTTTGTTTTTCCGGTTTTTTCTCACATTCCTTGCTTTCTATTAAATAGTTTTTTTTGAAAACGAAGAGAATGAACCACCCAGAAATTTGAAACTTTGAAATTTTTCTTTCTTTTTTGAAAGCGAACTTTTAATGTGATAGTATTAGTTACGGAAAAATGCCTGAAAAGTTCATAATCCGTTCTCACACATTGTTAAGGACAATTATTTTTGCAGCTGAAAACCCCGAAATGATCCAAATATTGACATTCAAATTTTCCGCAAATTTGTTTAGGACTGATACAATTTTGAACTGTAATGATCTCTTGTTTCATAATATTTCAAATTCTTCATATTTTGAATTCTCAGCTACCGTACCCTTATAAAGCAACGAAACAAAATTGCCAATAAATCCCATTTCTGCATCGTTTGGTCTCTTTCTTTTTCCATTCCATGCCATTTTGATTTACGAACCACACTTGACAAGAAGCAATTTAATCGTTCTCATTTTCGGTGTCCTCCTACTCTTTTTTATTTCTAAGAGTCCGTTTCAAAAAGAGAAAAAGAACGACCAATCTCCAAAAAAGAGAATGAGATGTGTATTTTTCCAATGCACTCGACTTGACATTTCAAAATTGACGCGCTGCTTGATTTTTGGTATTCGTAGGGAAAAAAGCATCTAAGATTGAAAAGGGCTCCTCCGTAAATCAACCAGAGACCCCTATGGTTTTATTTTCCCATTCACATTCGGGCTCCCAATATTCTTTCTTTCCAATTTCCTTTTTTTTCTATTCATTTCATTGATTCCGGCATCCATCTACCAGTAGTCAGCTTTCATTTTCTCCAAATATGAGAGCTGCTGAAATTTTTGTTCTGTGGTTCCCTGTAGTCGATTTCTGCAAAGTTGATTATTCAAACGAAATAGGATAGTATGCTCATTTCACTCATAAACCTTGATAGCCGACACTTTGATATATACAATGTTTGGTATACAAAAAATTGTCAACTCTCAAATTTGCTCACTTTTTTCCTTTTTTTTTGTTGCAGAATCCATGCTCTGTATGACGGATTTTCGACTAATTACTGGCCACAGTCAAATAGAAGGAACCATTATATTAGGTTGGAAGGAACGTAACTGTCCTTTTTTTAATTCATGAATAACACACAAAAAGCCGTTTTATCTCATTGACAGTGTAAAATTATTTTCCCTCCAGATGACGTTACACATCTCCAAACAATCAATAATGTAAGAATCAAAACTTGAGTTTAAAGAACGTAGAGTGTCAACCATCAAAAGCGGCTTATGACTGAATTGACTTTCCTTAATTAAAGCGAGATCCTATGTTCCACGGAAAGTCAAATAAGACATGGACCGCTTTAGCTGCACGGTTTTTCTTTACGCCCCTTCAAACTACTGGTTGGGTCTATTCATTATTGATTAATAGGAGATATGCATCGTCATCTGAAGGGAAATAGTTCAATACTGTAGATGAGATAAATCTGGCCACCGGCTTTAGGAGGTATGGTATCCACAAGTTACCTTCATGTTGTCAGCATGTCTTGGACCACGACGGTGCATACTGCCAATCTTTGATATTTCTTGCTTTTGTGTTATTCACGCATTAAAAAATGGACAGTTACTTTCCATCCAACCTAATACGTGGACTTTGACCTAATTTATCTCAATTTCTATGAGAAATAGCAAAAATGTGACAACTGATAACATTTTTGGGATATAATGGCAAACATTTTATCAGTCAATAGATTTTTGTTATCTCTTTTAGAAATTGAGATAATTCAGCTCTAAGTATAAGGTTGACCGTCCAGTGGAGTACTTACGGGATCAATATTTTCAATGATATGAAAATAACTTTCTAAATCTTCCATTACAGACGATCTCGGGGTCTCGAGTTCGGGGTCTGAGATCGCCTCTCATCCAATTTCCTTCTAAATATTATTATTCACAGAGGCATGCGCTTCCATGCCGTCCTTCTGCTCTTTATTGGCGTCACCTCCATCAACGGTCGGAAACTTGAGAAAGAGGTCAGCTCGGATGAAATCCTTTCCGCGTTCAACATGATGAACGAGGCCAAATTGGGAATCCACTATGAGGACCAAGTGAAACCACTTCCAATGCACTTCAATGAGAATGGAACTATCTTTTTTGAATTTGGGAACGAGACTGGAATCGTTTACAGAGGATCCCCACTAGACATCCTCAGCACCCTAAAATGGTCACCAGAAGAAGCAGTTCACTTATTCGTCGATATCTCGTACCCGGGAGCAAGTATCTTGTTGAGCCGTTGTAACGGTCGTCCAATCAACTTGAAAGCAAGTGTGGTCCACCACGAGATAAAATTGAGCTGCAAGCTGATGGAGAACGTGGATTGTATGGATCTCCACTTGATCAGAACCGAGGGACCAGCTCATGGACAGATTACTGTAGTCAACAAGCCACGCACTTGGTTCCACGTTCACATCATTGCAATGGTCTTAATTAGTATTTGTATTGGTGAGCTAAGAAGAGGAAATGGAAAACGTAAACAAATATATAGTTCATCAATTCTACAAGATGAAATGAAACCTTGAAGAAATACCGTAATTCCTTTAATATAAGTTCTCAAAACCGCCAATTTTGAACTCAAACTTTGAACTTTTTGTAATTGACAATTGACGTATCTTTGCTGATACTTTCAACTTTGAAGGCGCATAACTCAAAAACTAAAGTAGCCACAAAAAAGTTGGCAATCAAAAAACTAAACTGCTAATTTTGTTTAGTATACTCTAAAATTTTAAGACAAATTTAAAAATGCGGAACTGCTTTTATAGGGCTGCATTGTTAATATACACTGCGCGCCACAATTATAGAGCCACTTCATTTTTTGTAATTTTTCTGATATCCATGAAAGTTTCTGAATCTTTTCCGATGGTGGTAAATATCATTTTTGAATCTGAAAATGTAAAGAACATTCAATTATAGATAGCGAAGCAACGGTTTGAAAAAAATGAAAAAATGTCAAAAAAACAATTTTTCACTGCGCCATAATTATGGAGCCACTTCAAAAATCTTGCCATCATCACGATTTCTTCACTGTAAAAAGCAGATATTCAAATTTTCCATTAAAAATTGATATTTCCAAAGCAATTTCTAAATTAATTTCAGTAGAAAAATTTTCGGTTACAAATGATTTTCGAAGTTTTTTTCACAAAAAATGGAAGGTTTGCAAAAAACACTTTTTGCTTTTTATCTATTTTTGGATCTATTTTTGGAAATGTTTTCTAGAAATTTTCAACCCTATACGACACAGTATGTTTGTAGAACAAAAGTAATATACTGACCTTTTCTTAGTTGAAAAAACACCATGTTTGAGAGTTTGGAAAAAGTAACATACTTTGTCGTATAGGGTTGAAAACTCCTAGAAATATAAAACAAAAATAGAGCTTTATTTTTGTAGTTGACAACTTTCTTGTACAAATTCATACAAACGAGATACAGCTCTAGAAACAAAAGAAGCGAGAACTGCAGATGACAGTTCTGAGTTAACGTTCGCGACACGTCGGAGCAAAATAACATTTTTGGATGGAGTCATGATAAAAACTTGCCAACTAAGAAATTAAAGCTCTATTTATGGTAAATAAATCTGAGAAGCTTCAAATGTATTCCGTCATATTTACTATATTTTCGACTTACATTAAGTTAGCTTCAATAAACTTATATGATAAACGTTTGCACCTTTTGATCAGTACTTTATGTGCTTTGGTAGACTAAATAATGCATTTGATAATGTTTAACAGGTTCTTATGAACAATCTGACAAACCTTATATAATCCTGAAAAAAATTTGGAAAAAGCAAAAAGTGTTTTTTGCAAACCTTCCATTTTTTGTGAAAAAAATTTCGAAAATCATTTATAACAGAAAATTTTTCTACTGAAATCAGTTTGGAAATTGATTTGGAAACATCAATTTTTAGTGGAAAATCTGAATATCAGCTTTTTACAGTGAACAAATTGTGATGATGGCAAGATTTTTGAAGTGGCTCTATAATTGAAAAATGGCTTTTTTTGACATTTTTCATTTTTTTCAAACCGTTGCTTCACTATCTATAATTGAATGTTCTTTACATTTTCAGATTCAAATAATAATATTTATAACCATCGGAAAGGATTCTGAAACTTTCTTGGATATCAGACTAAAATTGAAGTGGCTCTATAATTATGGCGCGCAATGCATGTGTTTTCTATAATAGAGCCCACCAATACTGTCAACTTTGAGCTCAATTATCTTGATTGCTGTGAAAGATATCGAAACATTGTCAACTGATGAATTCATTATCATTATCTCCAAGGATTTTTCAAATTAATTTTATACATTTTTCACAATTTCGAGATAGAAAACCATTCAAATGAAGCCTGGTTAAATTTTGAAATCAAATTCTCAATTCCTTGTTTATTAATGTTTTTGCAATTTCTCATGAATTTCTGATTTTTAACATTTTTTTCACTGTTATACAGAAACACTTAAAATATTAATTTTTCATTTTTATTCCCACTCTTTGACAGCTAGAAAAAGTTCTAGCCTTAACTTAATTGAGACAATTACACAGTTAGTCATTCTGAGCTGTTTTTTAGTTTCATTTCCCCCTTTCCTAGCATGTAGTTTTGCAGAATATGTGTGTTTTTATTTAATTTGTTACATTGCCCACTATATCAAAATAACATTAAGCTCTATCGGAGTTTCCTTATAACTGATGTGTTGATTCTGACCAATGATGTTATGAAAAAAGATAACCAGAAAATCAAAAGAGCGACTGCCGTTCAATCGTTTTCCTATTGGGAAAAAACGATATCAACACAGACCAAAAGTTCATTACTTTTTTTTCAAAGTGTCAATTTTCAGTGATTCTTCTCGTCCGCCGTTTGGTTTATATAATTCTCCGTGTCGTCTTCCCGTACCACTTGATGGACGAAGGTCAACGCCCGGACCAGGAGTACTATTAACTCCCATGAATCTGATAAATGTTTACATTGTCCATTTTCCATTCCAATATGACGTTGCATTTCACTTTTTCCATCTTTCTCTTCCTCCATTTTCATACTGTTCCATTTTTTTCCCATTGTCTCATGATTTAATATTCTGCCATTTCAACAACTGACAATAAATGTAACGTTCTATTCTCCGAGAATACATAATCTGTTGAAGAAGCTCAACCCGCAGGTGATTATATTTTTTTGCGTTTTGTCGCGAACAGCGAAAGAGAGAAAGATCAAAAACAGATTAACCATGTTCTGTATCCATAGATCATTCTCAGTTCAAAAGTTCAGAATGTGAAATGCGAAGAGAGAGAGAGAGAGAGAGAGAGAGAGAGAAGCACGTATCCGAGAAGCGAGCGTTTAGTGTCGTAAATATTAACTACTTTTTGTCCTGAACGCCATTTCCGTGAGCATCGGAGCCATTTTGCATAGACGTCTAGTCTAGACTAATCTACCTTTTCTTTCTGGTCTGAACAATCAGAAACTACATACGCCCTTTCGACATTTAAGAGAAACATTGGTAAGATCGATCAGGTTTGAACACTTTTTCAAAATGTTTTTAAGTAGGATTTGTAGAAAAAAGATTAGTAATAGTAATATCACTCTAATTCTATAACCAACATGACACCAAACAGCACAATTATTGAAGAAAGCAATGCATAAACTCCAAGTTATTTCTGACTAGAGGATAGATGCACATCCTTATTTCCGTTTTATGAGAAATCCCACTTGTTCCGGAATGAAAGACCTGAGGAAATGTTTGGTGTGATATCATTTTTGGAATTGATCAAAAGGGTATTTTGGCCTCATTGACCACCACCACATTTCATGTGAAATCATATTGTATTCTTGGTCTCTAGTGTTTCTCTCTCCATTCTATTTTCTTCTTCCCATTTTTCATCCTAGGAATTAGATTGAGAGTAGTGTCTAATCGTGCTTTGATGCGTTACACGATGCACACACCGAACATTCATAATGTATGAAAGTGCAACATTTTTGATTGAGATTTTTTTCATTTAACTTTTCCCCTCTTCTTCCAATTGAGCAAAAGAGTGGGCGCTTTGGCATTCACATTGGTTGACACCTCTCTCATTTTCCCCTCTCTTCTTCCCCTTTTATACCAGTCCGAGTTCCCCTTGTGTCGTTTCATCACATTTTGATTGGATCTAAGAGCAATTTTAATCTGCATTCCCCTGCTTCTATCTTAAAATGCCAGTTTCTCAGTCGTTCCAGCTCAAAAGTTCACGAAAACCAGTGAAACCGAATCGCTATTAATAATTTCTGGTCAACTATTCTGCATACATACGTGCATCTCGAAGGGTAAACAAAATTGACTCTAAAGGCCATCTGGAATAGAAAAAAGTCAATCTTCTTCCCACATATCCTTCCGTGGGTTCTTTCTTAGAAAATCGTATGATCGAATGTCTAAATTATAGGCTACGAAAAAATAGATTTTCAATCTTTCACGTATGTTTCAGTTTTTAAATTTCGTTTCTCATAACATCTAAGAATCCAAGAAAACACATTTTGCAACAATACTCTTTCATGTGAACTGTCGGTTGTAAACACTCTTGTTTTGTCAACAAAAACACAACACGAGCCCTTTTTGATACTGCTATCAGTTGACATTACTGACTATTTCTTTTCTCACTATACCTTTTCTCACTATACCTTGTTCCTTTTTTCACCCACTTTCCATTTTTGCTCCAGATTTCCTCGATTCGTTTCTATGTGTACTTTGACCTTCTTATTTAGACAGCACCTCGCTTTCTTCCTTCGGAAACACTTCACAACGTTTCCTTATCACTCCCCTACGTTTCGCTGAAACTGAAAAGCAAATTGAAAAATTGTTGCCAAATTTCAGCTTCAATATGAAACGAATGAGCGTGATGAGCAACGCCTATCAAATGGACTCGCCGAAACGGTACTGCTCGCCGGGCCCATCATCATCGGCTTCATCGTGGAATTCGGTGCCAAGCCCGATTGATTACACTGCCTACGAGTTCATGAGCATGATGGAGAGTATTTTGAAGCAGCCGATCGAGTCAATCGACTCCAATGAATCAGCTGAGGAAGATGATTCAATTAAGAAGTCGGAAAAGTCAAAGAAATTCTATGAAAGGTGAGTTGGTTTTTCAACCCAGTTTTTTTTTTCAAATTTTGATAATTTCAGTGATGGAAAGATCATACAGCTGAAGGACAAAGTAATCGCAATTGTCGATCCGCAGCCACGAATCATCCATAAGTACGCGTTAGCAGCTTTGAAGAAAAAGGGTGTATACTTTGTACAGTAAGTTGATTTTATTAAAATTGGGTAAATCTCAAATATGTGAAGCAGCTTCTAAGAAAACTCTTAGAATTCTTGTTAATTAACTTCTGATCTTAAAAATGTACTCAATGTATTATTTTTCGGGCTCTAATAACACTCTAACAGAACGCGTCTCAAACCGGCAACTTTGAGCCCATATAACTCGATTCCTTTGAATGATAGCAAAAAGTGGTCAAATTGACAAAAGATTTATCATAATATGAAAAATATTTTGTTTGCTGACAATTTTATTATATTTCTCACAGGGACCGAGATAAATTGGGTTAAAGTTAGAAGTTAGAAGTGACGTTTTCTTAGAGTGTTTACGGTAACTTTTTGCTGCTTTCAGGGAGTTATTTTTAGTTTACTGCATAATACTGTGTCCGTCAAATCGAATTCTGATTATTTTAAACATTCCCGAAAAGATACAGGCCATTAACAACCCAAAGATTCTAAAATTTCATAAACATAAGCTGAAACGGGCTGGCCCCTTACAATTATTGTAGATTATCGGAAATAATACTAAAACTTTTTTTTTCTAAAAACCATTCAAATATGAATCTTTTGGAAGAATTCAGAACCTTCTTCTAGAACCGTGACATTTCTTTCATGATTTTTGATGAGATATATTCTTTTTTTGCAAAATTTTTTGCACGCTTATTCTCTTTAGGATTTGCTGGTGTGTGTCATAACCTTTCCGTTCCAATGCGAAATAATCTAGTTTGGATCAGGAAACTGCAAAAAATGGAATCGTAGTTAGTACTTAATTTTTCTCCTTGATGTTTGGAACTCGAACCTGATGCTTTGTAGAGGAACACATGACATCAATTCTATAAATTGTTTCCAGATCAGAAACCGAACTCTTCGGACCATTCTTCGTCACACCAACTCCGAACGACTTGCCGAAAGGAGAGTTGGTCATGATATACGAGGTGATAAGAAATAATCGTGGAGTCTAGCCTCTCACAATCAACAACTTATCATGTTTTCAGTGCTGTAGCAGTAAACTCTCCGAAACGTGCACGACCTGTTTCCGACCGCTGGGCTTGTTCCAGAACTGAACAACACAACAAAGATCTCATAAAATGTCGGGAGGGGTTTTTTCATGCTTGTCAACACGTCGTTTTTGTCCAAACTTGAATGTGTCATTTTAAACTTTTGGTGTTTATTTATTGAAAATGGTATTGGTTTTTGGTGACAACATGTGTTTTGTATATAATGGATAATATGTTAAATGATCTTATAAAGCGTCAATGGTAGAAGACTTTTTTTTCAGTTCGAAAGATCACTTTCTGCGAAAAACAGAAATAATCGTAGTTGGTTGTCAGCAACTACAATTTGCTGGGTTACGATCATTGGACAGATCACTTGAGGGCATAGGGGTGATTCCTATTTTCACCATTTTTAATTTCCGGTGCTCACGAAATATTAGTCTGACTTTTAGGTGTTTAACTAGACCAAACTTCAAATTTTAGGCAGTTAGGGCAATAGCAAAGTGTTGCCACATTTTGATCAGCATTCAGGTCAAAGGTCAGACATTAAAACAAAACTAAAGTGTTGAAAGAAAACTGGGAAAATAAAAAATCTCTAAAAGAGTCAAACTCGTTGTTTTTGGGGAAAAAATAATTTAGTACTGTACATCTTCCTGTTTAGATTATCAATTCAGGTTTAATCATGTCTTGTTCAAACTAGATACAGAAAAGAGAGCACCAGAAAAGTCAGGTGAAGTTCACGTGCTCATCTTGCTGTAAAAAGTTGCTGAAACATAAACAGAAAGCATCTAGAAGCCTTACGTCTAATTCCAAATTTCAAAATCAATAGAAAAAGTTCAAATCATATTATATTCACATGTTTTCTTCCGTCTTCTAACCTCAGTGAATCATACCCAACAAGATGATTCACTTTCAAAACTGTTGCAACACCTTATCTAAAGTTTCTGTTTATCAATCTTTCGTCCGCAAAAAATTTGTAACCGATAATTTTCTGCCCCACCCAAACCTGATCTGAAAGAATCTCTAGTTTTCTTCTTACTGGTTCCTTTTCCGGTGATTTGGAAATGAGGTTAGATGGTTTTGTGTGTTTTTTTTTAAATATTTATTCCACCAACAGTTTTCAGACTCAATGACCATAGACAATGGATTGAGAGTATTAATTGATCAAACAAAAAAAAATAATAATACTGGTTTGGGCAGCTTCCAAAATACCAATAAATGAGCAATAAAAAATGAATTGTTCGAAAAGGTTGATAGGAACGGTAGGATGAAGTTGGGAATGAAACCAATTCAAGCGAATAAAAGAAAATAAACTTTAACATAATTAGAAAAGGCTCAATGTAGATATTCGTGGAAGTCTGAAGTTAGATTTCGTTTAAAAAGTTGTGTAGTTTTGGGAAACAAAAAGTGTATCACGGACAGCGTGCTTTTTTCGAGAGCTTGAAAATTCCGAACTTTTTGAGAAGTTTTTGATTTTTTTTCTTGAAAAATCATTCACTAATAACGGAAAATGACAGAACAAATGAAAACGTCCCTAGTCGTTTCGTGAGTTATGAAGCAGTGAAGCAACAAAAGTAGTTATAGTATTCAAAACAGTTTCAGAATTTCGTAATACAAAAGAGAATAGCGTTGAATTTGAAGGAAAAATGAGAATTTCATGATTTGTTTAGCCACTGTCGGTAAAGTCGGAGCAACAAATAGCTTATAGCATAAACTACGTCTATTTCATTTTTGATTTCTTTACCGCTGGCTCATTGACGGATTCAATTCTTTTGTCCTTTTCATCGGCTTTCATTGTTTCATCTTCATCCATGACGTTACACTTGTTGTTCACCTCGCAGGCGTTTCCGTGATCATCAAACACAGTCCCACTCGATGAAGGTCCAGCATTGGCACCGAATGAATGTCCGGCTCCATCATCTGAGACGGGAACCAGCCCAGATTGACAGGTCCATGCTTGCCAATTTGTTCTGTAATAAATAGTAGGATAGTGTAGTTGGATATTCAACTGAAGTTTGAATAACTGGCTATCGAGTACAGTCTCGTTTTCTTCTGCTTTCCAAGTGGCCTTCTCCAACGCATCAATCTCATCCTCAAGTTTTTGTAACTCCTGGTCTCATTTATCGAGTCGTTGAAGCACAGACGAATCACGTGTACATACAATCTCGATTATATCGGCGTCCTCTCTGAAAACGATTCTAATGATTATAACTTTTTCAACAAAAAAGAGAAAACAATAAAAAGGTTTGAAGAATTCAAATTATTTTTCAAACATATCCATACAAAACAATCTGAAATTTTGAAATGTTTTTTTGTTTGAAACATTTTGTGAAAACGGCACACTACACTTTGAGCTCATTTTACAAAATTTCTACTACATAAAAATATCAAAATATAGCCAATAGTCGAAATCGACACGTTTTGGTTTTAAATGATAACCTCTCACTGAAATAGAGATCGGTAAGCTTAAAGTGCACATACAGTACCGGTCAATAAGATATGCGAAAACGAGTTGATTTTGACCATTTTCAGGAGTGTGAAGCTATATTGTCAAGTTTTCGATCGCTTTGAGAACTTCAGAAAATATAAAACAAACTTAAATTGAGGACTTCGCGTTCAAAAATTTTTTCGAAAATTTCTAGCTTTCCAGCTATTTGCCGATTTGTAAAATACATCTTGTTTTTACGTTTTCTTTATACTGAAAACGTTGAAAAGCAGTGACGTTTTTGTCCATTTTATTGATCGGTACTGTAGGTAGTGGCATTTGCATGTACGAGAGTATTTACTGTATATTTTTTCGGGAGTGTTTTAGAATATATTTTTAGCGTTTATCTTAATAATTTAAACATACTCCTTGCTTTTGCTCCCTCCTGATTTTTGTTCTCCTGTCATTGGAGCTCCACCACTAGCTGCATTCGTAGAATTTGCATTAATGGCACAAATCAATCTGAAAATTTAAAGTGTTATATTTGAGAATAAATATCTCTAAAAAATAAATTTTGAGATTAGTTATCTCGATACTCCTAATCTATCAAAATCTTAAAATTCTTCTTACTTAACTTTGTCACTTTGCAGTGGGGTTGCCGATTTTTCGTGATTCACGTTTTTGACAATTCCAGAGGGCTCAGAGACTCCGACCGCCCCGACTCCGCTACTATCCGTCCCCAAAATTTTTCTATGCTTATCTTCCGACAGAAGGCTTGCAGTGCTCGCTCGTCTAACAATTATCTTGTCTTCGATTGGCGTATTCGAGCCCATTATTCGTTCGGAGTTGAAGCTGTTTTCTGTAAAAAGTCTGGTTTTGTTTAGTTCTGAGACAAATGTTTTGTATCGAAAAGTGTCAGGTCAATTTGGATTACTGTATGAAAGATATAAGGGAGCTAGGGCAATCTTTCACTGAGCAACACACGGAGCATCTGGTGTTCTATGTCTGCGTCTCTTGTGTCTATAGACGGAGAAGGGAAGGTACGTATCGGAAGAATAGTAGGATAACCGTACTTACATCTGCCGATGATGTCATCGCAAAAAATAGCAAAAGGTCGAGAGATATGGCAAAGAAAACAGAGCAATGCATGAATATTCTAAAGACTCAACTTGTAAGAAAAGCTAAGCGGATGAAGTGCAAGCTGTAGATATTTGGAAAAAAAATATAATAGAATGTATGAAAGGAACTGTTAAGATCCTTTGGTTACGAAAATACAGACATAAATTGTTGACAACAATATTACCTTTATTCACGAAAAATTAACATGTATTCCAAGAAGGCAATAAACAATAAAATGACGAACGCAAAACCATCTAAAATCTTCTATTTGGTTTTCGCCTTCTTGGCAGCCGGCTTTTCCTTGTCACTTGACTCTCCCTCATCGTCGTTGGATTCTGCTTCCTCTTCGGAATCCGACTCCTCCTTCTCGTCATTTTTCTGTGTTCTTTCAGATGTCCCTCCTGACGTTCTAGCAAAACTTGCATCAGTTGGCTGGATTTGTTCCAATCCAGAGAATGGAGCTTGACAGTTCTGGACGACAAAGGCAGCACTGTTGAGGATGACCTCATTCAGAACTCCGGCGTTACCTCCGAACAATTGATGTACCAGAAAATCGATTTTTTGCTTCATTTCCTGATTGTTTTTCTCGATGTCGTTCAAACGATTGTTGATCCGTTCCACATCATTTTCAAGAAACCCTCTTCTCATTTCATTGAGCGCGATCCGGTCATCCACGGTGCTTCTGGCTCTGCAAAAACACGGATTATTTGAATAATCGATCAGAAATTGTTTTTCTCATTAAAAATCCGGAAATGAATTTTTGACATTAAATGAACACCGATAAATCGCTCTATTTGTGTTTCCATTTTATAGTGGTAATTAAAGCTCACTTGATTCTGCTCAAAACAGCATTCGTTGCTCTCATGACGGCCATGGCAATCGGAGTCATTCTGTCGGCCCTGAAACAATTTTTTAATAGAAAATGGTTTTGTTAAATTGGTTTTTTGTTAAATTTTGCACTGTTGGAACATGTTAATTTAGTCCTTATTTGTGATCTTGAAAACATTACTCACTTTGCCTGTTGAACTTTGGCAATGGTTTTTTCTCGGATTCATCATTCAAAGCGATAACGGCCACAGGCTTGTTGAGTGCTTCTGCGACAATCCTGGAAATGTGAATTCTAGAGAGAAGAATTGCGGGAATGGTATTAAATACTGCGAAAATGATACCGTAAAACCTGTATCAGAAGGACCGACTCTTCTACTACAGGGACCCTTTAATTAGAGAGGGACCTTTTGTTTTTCCAGCCCTTCTCCCGAAATATTTTACCGAAAAATTCGACGAAATTTGTTAAAAAGAATGAAAATCTGTAAATTTCACAAAAATTGAGCAAAAAAAAAGAGCAAATAAAATAGCGTTTCAATAAATATCTATTAAATTGTGGAACTCCCGAAATTTTTCAATTTTAACACATATTTGTGATGGGGTCCTTCTTTGTAGGTGGCCCTTCTATTTCTCCAAATCTCTCTCGGAGGGCCCTTCTATCAAAGGAGCCCTCCTATTAAGGGCCCTTCTAATGCAGGTCTTCCGGTAATTTAAAAACATACTGGTCAGGTCCTGAGTTGCTGGTGTTTCCATCGGCTGTTTTCTTCCCGTCCGCCACTTCCAAATCAACTCCAGCAATTGCTGGCGCATACATAATCTAAATTCTAGTAGCAACAAGGCAATTACGCTCCGCTGTTTCACCCCTGACGTCGCGCGCGCCAAATGATTTGCTTTGAATAAGCTAGACGAGAGCCAAATATGAAAAAGGAAATGAGTATGGCTGGCGCAGAAAGATAGAAAACGGAAAACGTCAAGAAGGGGGTATAAGAGAAACACGGCTGGCACTGTGCAGCGTGCGAGGCGGCGTGCCGTATCCTCCTCGCAATTCAATTGACATTAGGGTGAGTCGCTACGCAGCGAATTCAACCCCGATGCGACGAAAATAAATGCGACGAAAGGAAAAAAAGCTCGATTCAAAGAAGAAAGATGCTTGATGAAACATTTGGAACTCGATGTTAAATAGATTAACTCTCAGATAAAAGGATATGTAACCCATGTTATCGACATTTTATAACGGCTTCAAACAAATTGATATGGAAAAATGTCGTCATTGTGTTGAATAATTTTGCAATATATTAAATTAATATACTGCCAGTAATACACTAATTGAAATCCAAAAAGTGAGAAAATTCGGAAGAAAGATACTCTTACAAGCAGAGACAGCCTGCAAAAAAAGAAACAACTGGCAAAAAATGAGAGGAATAAAAAATGTGCTTGTTTTTGAAAAGTCTTGAGGTTGTCAGAAAATCAAGTGTCTATCTTGTATACCGTACATTCTCTGATAGCACCCCTAAATTCCAACTTTAAGCCAATTTATCTCGGTCCCTGGAAAAAGATATCAAAAAGAGATCAAATGATAAAATTATTGTGATATTATAACAAACATTTTGTATTTTGACAACTTTTTGATAACTTCTACAGGAAATGAAAGTATCCCCACTGGTCTACACTTCTCTGCTTTTGTTGACGACATAAAACTCTACTCCCATGATCCCTTCCTTCTACAATCTGGAATCAACACTTTAGATACCTGGGCCACAAACAATAAGCTTCCTCTAGCTCATACAAAGACTTCTCTTCTACGCCTTGGTTCAAGAAACAAGCACGCTCCCCTCTTCATCTCCTCCTCAGCTATTGAGTCTTCTGACAATATTCGTCATCTAGGACTTATTACCGACTCCAAACTTAAGTTCACCCAACACATAAACAAATCGGTTGCTGTTTCACTTCTCCGATCCAAACAATTTTTGAAATATTTCAAATCCTCCAACCCCTCATTCTACCTTCACTTATTCAGAACCTACGTACTCCCCTCTCTTGAGTACTGTTCAGTAATCTATTCTCCTCCCCCCAATTCCAAACTCTCTCAAAAACTCGAATCCCCGTTTCTTCACCCGTAAAGTATTCCAGAAATGCAATATCTCATACTCTTCTTATCAAGATCGTCTCTCCCAACTTGACCTCTTCTCTATCAGACATCGTAGACTTAAATCTAAACTTATGCTGCAGAATGATTAGTGACGCCTCTTATATGCCAGAATTATCCTCTTTCTTAAGAATTTCCGACTGTCCTAGGAGACCTGACCCTTATTCTCTCAGATAAATGTACCGATGACTTCTTCTTCACCACCGCCCCTATTTGGAATGCAATTGTAAGGAATATTCCCCAATTTTTAACTCCCGGTCAATTTTCTACTCTAATCCAATCTTCCATCACCCGGTTTTAGTTTTCTGCTACCTTTTCCCCTTTTCTTTTAAATATCTTGCTAAATTCTGCAGATTTTAGCGATGGCTCGCCGGCAGTTGATGATCCGTTTTCAACTTCTTCTTGAATTCCAGCTATCTGGTTCATAACCGCCCTGTTTCTGCTCGCCAATTCATTTTCAAGAACATGGGTCGGGATTGTTTGAGTCATATTCGTGAACATTCTTTCATTTTGGAGAAGTTGAGCATCCTTTCCTTCTACTATTCCAGTCAGTTCCATTATTTTAGCCTCTAGTTCGGAAACTTTCAGAGAGAGTTGGGCGATTTTGGGATCAGTCCTTGGCAAGTTTTTGCAGTTGCACCTGAAATTCTTTTTTTGTAGTGAAAACAAGGCTACGCTAGAGAAGCATGCCATATTTCTTTTAATAAAAGCGCACACAAACCGTCAACTTTTAGCTCAACTATCTCGGTTCCTATGAGAAATATCAAAAACGGTCAATTGATGAAATTTTGGTTATATTGTGATAAATAATTCATTAGTTGAACATTTTTTGATATATTTCTGAGGAACTGAGATAATTGAGCGCAAAAGGCACTCAGCGTAAACTTTCATTGAAACAAATAAGGTAAAACTCACCACGGGACTAGCTGTGAGTTGGTAGTAGTTGTATGAGCAATAGCTGTGTTTCCGGGAGCTCTACTGTCAAAATGAAACCTCGAAAATTCTGATGATTGCTTCACGACCGCTATTGCAGGGACACCCATCAAAATGTAGTTGTTTTCAATTCCAGCTTTTTCCGCATTTTGCCCATGAAGTCCAGCCATCTCAATATCGTTTTCGGCTGAAATATTATTTTTAGACGTTTTTTTTAAAAGATAATAATACCTCCAGAGTTTGACTGCAATGAAATTTTGTTTGTTGAGAAAGTTGAATTCTCTGACCCAACTTCCATGCTTGATGATTGTGTGTCATCCGTGTTCTTATCATCCATATTCTGAAGTAATCACTTGATTATCTCTGTAAAATTTTTACCATATAGTCTGGCTAATTTCGAAAAGGTTTAGGGTACAAAACATTTTTCAAATTAGAATAAAATCAGAAGATCAAAACCATAATATACCGTCTAATGGTGTTGCACCCTGAACTAGGTTTTCTAAGTTCATGTCAAAGTTATTCGAAAGTTATGAACTAATAAAATGATTTTGACATTATGAAGAACACTTTATTAGTGGACCACTTTCCGAAACATTTGACAGGAATTGAGATACCGTAAAACCTGAAACAGAAATGCCCTCACGCTCAGTTATCTCAATTCCTATGCAAGATATCAAAAATATGTCGACTGACAAAACACTTCGGACACTGTGATAAACAAAATTTCAGTTATCAAATTCGTTATATGTTTGTCAGGAGCCTAGTAAAACTGATTCGAAATTAAAAGTTTGTACCTCTTTATTATAGGTCGAACGGTAATTGATCGTGAAGTTGACGATTAGGGTACTCAATTGAAAAAATAATGAGTAAACAACTAAAATGAAGAAAATGCAGATGAGATGCTTATAGCCAAAAAAAAGAAGACTGTATCGGTTCTACTGTTGAACAACAGCTTCCAACTATTATATACCTCACCTACAGTACAGTGGCTGTTCTCTGTTATGCAGACAAAAGTTTAAAAAAGAAAACAAAAACCGTTTTCCGAAAAGGACAATACTCAAAGAACCTTTCACTGTAAGGTGTAAACGAACCTCTCATGAAGATAGAATTCACTGCCGTTGTTGACAAACAATAGAATTTGAAGCAACTTGGTAAGTTCAACATACCTCCTCGTCTTTCGAATTTCATTTTTCTATTGACAATACGTCATTGTGCTGGTCCAACACTTCTTCTGAAAATGTATTTTTTGCCTTGTAAGTCAGATAATTCGTTGGAATCACTGTACAATTTCCTTTCCATAAACATCAACTTTTCACTGATGCCATATTCGTTCTCCTTCTGCATAAAATCTATTAGGTTGGAAACTTAGTCTTTGTGCACTTTTGTTTTCCTCTTTTCAATTAATTAAGCTAGAACAGTAATATATGTGAGACCGCATATGGTATATAAGATGATAAAGTTGTTCACAATAACCATCAATTGCCCTGCTCTTATTCCGCTTGTGAACGGGATGCCCTTTTTTATACCCACTGTTTTTGGGTGAAATTCCTGTTTGATGACGTCTACTGGCTGTTTAACGAATTCAAGACATTGGGCTTTCCTGTGATGGTTAGTATTTATGACCCTCTTTTTATCTATGGTGATAATATATTTCAGCCGCTTAAAGTTCTCGAGTAGAGTAAGAAGTTGCATGCTCATGTCCACCCGCCGCTGAATATCAAAACTGGTCAAAACGGTGATGTATCCGCCGTCCAACTTTTTCTGTCTTTCCCAACATTAACAATTCATTTTCAATAGTGGTATGGGTTGTCCCTAAAGTGATAGACATTTCACGAGTAGATTGAAAAGAGTCCTATTCTACTAGATCTCTCAGCTTGTCTGAATCTAGAAGAACTGGTTTCCCGGGACAAGTTTTATTTTTCATTGAAAAGTCCTGGTTCTTGAACTTTCCAACCCAATTTGCAATGGTGATTCTATGAGGGCATTGTCTTTGTTAACTTCCACCAGGCGGTGATAAATATCGGATATTTTCAGGTTAGAAATAAACACAAACAACATACAGAAATTTCACCCAAAAACAGTGGGCGTCAAAAGGGGCATCCCGTTAGCAAGAGGAATGAGAGCAGGGCAAATGATGGTTATTGTCAACAACATTATCATCTTATATACCATATCCCGTTACACACATGTTTCTGTTCTAGCTCAGTTGAGAGTAACGAGGAAAACAAAAGTGCACAAAGACTTAGTTTCTAACCTTATATAAAGATGTAAGTCTGAAAGTTAGAGGAGCAAAAAATTTTTTGAAGACACACATTTTATTTTTCGAAAAATTCAATTGAACATAGACACATAGAGAAATACCAAAAGAAACCAATGAATCATAAGAAAAAATGAGATGGGTTGATAATTTTTTGTGACTTTGGGAGGTGGGAAGGGTATACATACCATGAAAGATCATCGTGAAAATCAGTGAAATGGAGTTAGTAGAACACATAAAGAAGGAATGGGAGGCTAGAGACAAACTTTGGATGATGGGAAGAAAAAACCTAAAAAATTGATGTGAACCGAATGGAGGAGGAATTTGGGAATTAGAAAAAACAGGAGACAAATGATGGGCAACGAGAGAAAAAGCATACCAGAACATTAAAAACCGATTAGAAAATGAATTTGAAGCAGAAACAAATGGAAAAGTGTAGATGATGGTGAGAAAGAAGAATACCAAAATGTAGAAAACCGAATGTAGAATGATTTCAATATCCGTAGAATAGAAGATATTCTGATCGGAAGGTGGGGAGAGAAAAGAAATTTAGGGACAAAGTGGAGAGAGATGAGAAAGAGCTGGTTGAGGAAATAAGTTTCTAAGTCTCAAGATTGAGAAAGATGTCAGAAAAAATGGGGTGATGGGAAGGATGAAATATACCAGAGGGTTTAGAACCGAATGTAGAATGATTTCAGAACACGCTGAAGTGAGAAAATTCCGATCGGGAGGTAGGGAGGAGAGAAAAGAAGAATGTGGAAGCGAAGTGAAAAGAGATAGGCAGGTTAGGGATGAAATAAATTTCGAAATCTTGAGATTCGCAAAAAAGGGATACATATTTGGGTGATGGGAAGAAGGCAGGAGCAGAAGGGAACGAGACGATAGGGAGCTGAAAGAGCAGAAGTTGGATGGTGGTGGAGGAAGGTCTACGTGATGGTGTTGGAAATGAAGATTCTGAAAAAACACACATGTGAAAAAATTACAGTAAAATTTCAGTTACAGTACCGGTCAAACAGATACACAAAAACATGTTTTCAGTTGATTTTCTCATCTTTAAGAGTCTGGAGCTCGACTATCAAGTGTCCGGACACTTTGAACATTATGGAAAGTGTAAAACAAATCTAGGTGAAAATTTTGAATTCACAGCATTTTTTGAAAATTCCTAGTCTTTCAGATATTTGCCGATTTTTGAAAGACACCCGTTTGGCCAGTTTTTGTACTGAAAATGTGATAGCTAGTAATTCTCAAAAATATGAAAGCGAAATTTTTGATCTAGGTATGTTTTACAACCTTCAAAGTGTTTTAAGTGAACGGAAATTTGACAGCCGAACTCCAGACTCATGAAAATGGTAAAATGGGTGAAAATCAATTGAAAACTCGTTTTTGTATATCTCATTGACAGCTACTGTGTGTGAAAAAAAAGTGAACAAATTATTTAAATACCTGATTTTATTTTTTTTTTGGCTCCTTATCCTCTCTTTGTAAATTTTTGCAACTAACCAGCGTTACTATTTTTTAACCAATCAACCAACATGCCAATACAAAAAAAAATTAAATTAAATACCTTTTTACTCGTCTGTTTTTGCCTTTTTTGGAGCCGGCTCCTCATCGTCCACATCGATCACCTCCTTTGGCTCCTCTTCATCCATCAGCTCGTCATCTTCTTCGTCGTTGATATCCTCTTCGTCTTCGACATCTTCTTCAGCTCCTTCGATTCCATTCGTAGACGCATCTTGAGCTGGTGGGACCGCGGCTCCATTTGAAATACCAACTCCTTGGACCAGTGGAAGGCCAACTCCTTGGGCCAGTGGCAGACTGACTCCTGGGGCCAACGGCATACCGACTCCTTGGTTCATTCCGGCCAACAACAAGGCAGGGTTTCTCATCAAATGATCCTGTAGACATTTTCTGTACAGCTCGATGTTCAACTCCGCCGAAGTTATTTTCCCGGAACCCGGGCGCGCGAATTCGTCGGCCACGTAGTTACGCATTTTCAGGTGCGACACTTCGTTTCGAAGAGCGCGAATCTCGCTTCTCATTTCCCGGGTTGCCTTCCTGACTGCCTTCTCAATGCTCGCCTGGAGGGTCAACTCTGGGACAACTCCTTGGTCCTCGAAGTCGTCTCGAATGACCTCGATTTCCTCATCATCGGCTTGAACTCTGAACATTTCATATTGTAAGTACTTTTTTTGGTGTCATATGATAGATTTTTTTCTCTTTCGCTCAGTAATTTTTTAACAAAAACAGTATTTTCTCCAATAGAAGCTCAGCCAAACTGTGAAATTAGATCTCAATTATCTCGATTCTTGTGGGAGATATCACAAGTTGGTCAACTGGTTTTTTTGAAATCATAATATCACTAATATTCAATTTAATTTCTCGAAATTCACAGGAGTCGAGGTGAATGAGCTCAAAGAGTACGGTAGAGGTGAGCTTCTATTAGATGAAAAACAGTAACTTCAGAAAAATTTGAACAATCGAGTATCAGTTCTAAAGTTTTCAAAGACGTTAAGCCAAGACTTTCTAAAAGGTTTTCATGATTTTTATATTTTTCAAGGAATGTTTTGAAACTAACGATGCTTGACGAGCTCGGCGGCGTTGACGACCTTGACGACGAGCTTCTACAGCTTCAGCTGCTGCACCTCTAGCCACAGCTGGAACTGGTTTGGCGTCTCCTTTATCTCCATCGATAGCAGATTCTGCTCCAGCGGCTCCTGCTTGAACGGCTTCAGCTCCATCATCTTGGACAACATCTCCAACAGCAGCTCCATCTTCAGCAACTCCGGTAACTGCAGCAACTGGTTTGGCGTCTCCTTTAGCTCCATCGATAGCAGCTTCTGCTCCAGCGGCTCCTGCTTGAACGGCTTCAGCTTTATCAGCTCGGGCTACATCTCCAACATCAACACCATCTTCAGCAACTTTAGTAACTGCAGCAACTGGGTCGGTGTCTCCTTCAGCTCCACTATCAACAGCAACAGTTTCAACAACTTCAGCAGGTTTCGCAACTACTGGAATTGGATCTCCGTCTCCTTCCGATACACCACCAAGAGCTTCGGCAACGGCATTTTCTTCACCATTTGGTACTTCATTCAAGGCATTCGAATCAACCTCATTGTCTCCTGGCAGCACTCCTTCTAGCAGCTCCCCATCTAGAAGCTCTGCTGCAACAGCCTCCATATCCACAATGGGCTCTTGTTGTCCTTCATCGTTGCTCTCTTTCAAAAGTTCCATTTCTTCTTCAATGCTGGACATTACGTCGGGCGTTGCTGAACTGTAAACAAATCATGAATGACGAAAACCAAACAGAAATGCAACGGAAACCCCAGAAAACAAGTAAACTTTGATGATCATTACGGTTCTTTTCAAATTCCAAAACTTTGAGTTTTAGGATTTTAGGATTTTATGAATATTTTAGAATTTTGGAATTTTGGAATCTTTCCATGTTCGAATTTTAGAATTTCAGAAATTTGGGAAATTGAAACATTGAGTTCTTCATTTTTTGAATTTTAGAACTTTGCGTTTCTGGAACTCGGTGTTAGGGTTTCCATGCGAGTAGCGATATACCCGCCCGTACTCGCAGCTACCCGTACCCGCTCGTACCCGTACCCGCTTGCTACCCGGAACTTTTTGTGTTTGCAGACAATGCGCGCAACTTGACGACAATTCGCGCGCATTTTTCGGTTTCTTTCCGAAACAAATTCGTCCATTTTCACTGGCTGATGAACTTTCATACCTGAATTATTTTTATTTTCAATTTAAAACAATTTTCTACACCAATAAGCGACAAAAATTGTCAACAAATAATTTGAAAAAAAATTTAATCGAAGTGTCGGCAAATTTCGCGCATTGTCTGCAAACACAAAAAGTTCCGGGTAGCAAGCGGCCGGGTAGCTGGCGGGTACGGGTACGGGCGGGTAGCAGCTACCCGTTTGCTACCCGCCCGTCATGGAAAGCTTACTCGGTGTTTGAGATTGTCGAATTTAAAGTTTGTTTTTTTGAATTTCGTATTTCGGAATTTTATGACTTTAGATTTTGAGATTTTCGGAATTCTCGGATCTTCAATCTTTAGACAGTCAGAATTTTTGAAATTCGGGAGTTTGAAACACCGAAATCTTCGTTTGAAACTTTGAGATTTTCAGATTTCTGAATGCTAGAATTCTTGCAAATTTTGAAATTCTGATATTTCGAACTTCCAAATTTCCGAATTTAGGATTTTTTTTAATTGCAGAAATATTTCAGAGATTCTGATTTGGAATCATGAAATTTTTAATTTTCAAAATTTCAGTTTGTTAGAAATTTAGGAAACATGGAAATTCAAAACTCCGAGATCTTCGATATGTTGGATTTCAGAAATTTAGATATTTGAAATTTCGAATTTGAGATTTTCATATTTTATGTTCGATTTTTGGGATTGTAGGATCTTTGAATTGTCAAATTTCGGGTTCCCTAATTCAAAATTCAAAAAAATTTAATTTTCGTATTTTTGAAATTCGAAATATCGGGATTTTGGAGTTTCTAAATCAATCACAAGTTTCTAAATTTTTTAATTTCTGAATCACTGAATTTGAAAATTCTCAACATTTTAAGAAAGTTCCTTTTATCTCTCACAGTTCCACGGATTAGATAAAAGGAACAAGAAAGTTTACCTCCGAGTGGAACAAAAACCTACTGGTAATAGAAACAGTAAAGAAAAATGGCAGGAGATGCAGGGCTAGGACCACAGGTTCCTCACGAAAATGGTTCTATACGTGGAGACGCAGAAAGAAAAGGAATGGGTCTTTTCCGTCTGCCAACTCGCGAACAGACTCTGCGTCTCGTCAAAACAACAATGTTTTTCTGTTGGGTTTGTTTTTGTGCTTGTGTTTCAACTCTCCTCTTTTCATGTGTAATAAACTGCACTCTCTCTTTTCCGAAGCGCCGTTGTCGTTGGCAGGGTTATAACAAGATGGAAATAGAACGAAAATGAGAGACACAGACATAAATGTAGTTCTTTTAGAAGGAAAGAGGAAAGCTTGGCAAGTAGGCGTTGCGCGTTCGGACAGAAAGGAGGTGCAAGCGATATGACGTCATTGCGTTCGGGGCAGAAAAATGAGGAGAAGATAAAGCGAAGAAGAAGGAGTCTAAAAAGTACTTCTACAATTTCCGAAAATGATTGAAAAGGGAATATTGTAATGAGTAAACACTCGTGAAACAATCGCCCAAGCGAGGAGACCTGAAAATCGTGTTTTGATCTTGTGCCTGAAATTAAAAATTGCACGTTATTCGGAAAACGATTGTACTGAAGTTGACATCAACTAACCTCATAAAAACATTCTCCAACATAATTTCAGTGTAAAATCGGGCATAATTAGTGCACTCAGAGATTGTCAAATTTGTTTTGATTAGAGGGTGTAATTCGTGATTTTAATTTGTGTAGTTCCTGATTTTTAACCAATTAGAGTGGGCGCAACGAATGTCATTGCTTCTGTTTTTGAACTCGCGCCGAGGAGAATTCTAGGCCACCACAAAATGGAGGCCACAAAATTTGAACGCGAAATTTGTGAAATTTTACAATAAAATGTTATCTCTGTGAAGGAATTAGTGCACATTGTTTCCAAAAGTATGACAGCGATTTGGAATATTGCATACTTGCAACGGCCCTGGCCGGACCGGACCGGATGATGAATGTTCCCGGGTCGGCCCAGCTTGGCAAGGCTACAAAACTTGAAAAATTTCTATAAAAAATTGGAATTTTTTAAAGGGGAATCACTTGTATTAATAAAAACAAGACAAAATAGAACATAATCAAAAAATAGAACGCTTTTGTTCAATTTTTAGAATTTTTTTTTTAGTCAGCTTTTCTACAAATAGCGACCCGGCCCGTTAAAATCTCCTACGGACCAATCAGAGTTTTGCAAGCATTGAGTACAAATAATATTCTGAATATCACAAGAATGTTTTTGTCGTATTTTCTCTTGTTTAAGCGCACCTGTGCGTTCACTTTGAGCTTGATTATCTCGGTTCCTTCAAAAGATATCCAAAAACATTTACCTGATAAATTGTTCACCATAATATAACCAATATTTCAGCAATTGACAAAATTTTGATATCTCACCTATGAGCCGAGATAATTGAGCTCAAAGTGCAGGTATAAAGTGGGGTACGGTTAGTGAAAATATTTGTTATTATTCTCTAATTTTTTTTTATGGATCAGTTATTATCCTTGTCAGAAAAAAAGAGAGTTAAGTCGAAGTGTATGCGGAGTTTGAAAACAAATCTCGAAAAGCGTAAACAACCGGTCACAGTTGAAACGAGTGCGACAGTAACCCGGCGGGAAAAAATTAAATTTGAATATTTTAAAACTTTTCTCCCATTTTGCAGCTAATTTTGTCAAATATCTTTTGTTTTTAATTGTTTTTTGCTGTATTTTAACAAAATAATACATTCAATGAATGTAGAACAAGAGAGAAAGCATGTTTGCCCGTTTTTAAACATTTTCTTCTGATCTTTTGTGCATAAAAAGCGAAATTAGAGCGCAACATTCTCTCTTGTGCTACATTCATAAAATGCATTGTTAAATGAAAAAATACCGCAAAAAAACAGTGAAAAACGAAAGATATTTGACGAAATTAGCTGCAATATAGGAGAAAGGCTTTAAATTATTCAATTTTAATTTTTTCCCGCCGGGTTACTGTCGCACTCGTTTCAACTGTGACCGGTTGTTTACGTTTTCCGATATTTGTTTACAAAAACTTCGCATACACTTTGACTCAACCTTCTTTTTTTCTGACGAGAATAATAGTTGTAGGCTGAAGTTTCATATTTGTGTAGTAATTGAAACCTGAAAAAGTTCATCGGGCAGGTGTCCGAACACTGAAGATATATAGTTTTGCGTTTCGCATTGTATTTCTCTTTGATTTTATTTAACAAAATCCGTCTGACTGGATATTCTGTCTGATTGTTGAAAGAAATACCAATGGTGAAGTCATTGACACATGAAGAACGTCAGTTCGAATATTTCCAAGTGTTTTTTGCTTATTTCAGCTGAGGTTTTTTCAGTTTTTCCTTCTTCGGACCCAAGAATGGAACTTCCAGGTTTATCATACTTTAGGGTCACTCCACAATCACCAAAAACTGACCATTACATAACTCGCTCAGGTCAAAATGCAATGATAATAATTTTCTCTCTAAATAAACGCGACCAAATCGTTATCATTGCGCCACATCTCGAATATCATCAATTATCTTTTTTTGCGAGTTTAACAAATCTGATCTTTCGATGCACCTACAACGTCACCTTGAATTCGTTGGTTATCACTTCAAACCGACCAACTGATGCTTTTTGTTTCAACGGACACTCCACGTGGATGGTTATCAGAAGATCAGAAGAAAAATTTGGTTTCTCGCTGCAGAATGACCTTGCAATTAGCAACAATACTCATCTGAATGTACATTCTGTCTGATTGATAGGACTTATATCAATTATGAATTCTTTGAAAAATCAAGAACGTCAGTTCGAATTTTCAGCTAAGAATTTTTTCAGTTCTCCAAATTCTCAACAAAAAAATGACCAGAAAATGTATTGTAATGGTCCACTTGATTGCTGCTGACAATTCATTAGATGGAAAATTGTCATCATCTTTTTTATATAATATGTAGTTGTGTCTCATAAAATGTTCCAGTTTTTCTGATGCAATATGACAAACTTCCAAGGAGAGTTTTTTCTGTCAGACCATTAAATAATTGTGATTATGTTTTGGTTTTCATAAAACTCAGCTTTTCAAAAGTTCCAATCAGTTCAAATTTATTTATTCTATTTTTTATTATCCCTCTGCCATTTGTCTACCTACATCTTGTAGTGTGCCCACTGTTTTTATCAATGTTCGAAAACTGATCATTGTGTGGCGAATTGGGTGATAAGAAAATAATTGACACGAATTGTCTCTTCAGTGTCCCACGTACTAACGATGTCTTATTCTTCCCGGTCTGTACTCTTGATAGCTGGCTTATCTTGTAACGATATGCGGGGTTGATGTCGCCTCGAAAAATGGCCTGATCCTCGTTTGGAGAGGGTGAATGAGGCAACAATGATAAGAGAAACAAAAACAAAGAGTGTACACTTCAAAGAATACATCTCCTGAACGGATTAAAAAACTTATCGATATTGGAAGTGATGAACCGAGAGAACTCAAAATAGTTCGTTTTTCAGAAATTTAATTTGTGTTTTAATTTGAGCCTACTTATCTCTGTTCATGTCCAAGATATGAAATAATTATCAACTGATAAATTTTTCATCATAATGTCAGAAATATTTTGTCAGTTGTTACAACTCTGAAATCTTGCATACGAATTGAGATAATTGCGCTCAAACTTGTAAGTGGTGGGATCTTCAATATAGGTTTTACAGTTATATCGATTTGCCAATCACGTGATAGTACAACTCCTGCGTTCTTTTTTTCCATTTCCTAACAATGAATTTCTTTTTACAATTATCCAATCTCAAATTCAATCAGCGAAGATGTTCCTCTTATAGCTTTTTTTTAACATGACAGTTTGGGCCAACGTCTAACTCTTTTTTAGATTTTCGAGAATCACCGTCCTCTGTCCCCTTGAGTAAGTACACAAAAAAAGTTAAAATCCCATGTGCCTCAGATTTTGAGGCCTGTATCTTTGCCAACACACGAGACAAATTAACCGCACCAGACAGACAAGCGGACTTTTGAAAGTGATCAAAGCAAACATGAGCTGTCTAGGAACTTGGTTCTTAACTTTCACTTGTCTAGACAATTTTTAGTAGAATTGTTTTGATTGCGGCATCTAATGACAGCACTTGAAAGCTGATCTAGTCTTCAAATATCCTAATTTTTAAAACAAAGGTGCAGAAACATTGGGAATATTCTGGTGGATGAATTCATGGGACTTCGGATGGTACTAACCAAATAGAAAAATATTCCATAGCTAATTGTCTCGGGAATGTAAATCAACAAAATTATCCTGCTGACTAGGGAACTATCTGAGCATGATTCCAAGTTACAATTCATGACTTATATCATTAGAAAGCCCATAAAATTCAGTTGATTTTCGGCATTTCCAGGAGTCTATCGCTTTGAAAATTTTGAAGGGTGTAAAACAGACGTAGATAGAAAAAATTGCAATCACAGAATTTTTGGAATTCCAAATGTTTTTCAGCCACTTGCCGATTGGTTAGTGGCATCTGTTTTTTCTAGAAAAATTGAAACTGAAAATTCATACCTAACTGACTAAACTAATTCTTTTCGAAGAGTTTCGGTACAAAAAATCATGTTTCAAGTACACAGAGCAAATGCAATAATTTACGAAAGTGTGAAGAACATAATTAGGATGACAAATTGTTATCTCTGCCTATCGGTCAGGTATTTTTGCAATGGGAGACCAAACACAGACCGAGACACATATTCTTAGATTGACACCCGACGAAAAGAAGAATCGGGCGACGGATCATTAACGCCGATGGCGGGATAGAACGAAAAAAGTCTGATGTAACATCAGGATAGGTCTGACGGAGATGCAAATCTGAAACGAATTGTCATGCCGTGACGAATGAGGAAGAGAATGCAAAGCGTCTGATAAAATCGTTTTCCAAAATGACCATGAGTCTCGAATGCGGTGAAAAAACTACTGAATATTCAGGTCGTTAGATGAGGCAACGTTGTTCGTTTCTTGATTTTTCAAAGAGATAAAATCTAAATTCAGGAAATTCTAATTCCGATTCAAATCAACTGGAACTAGAAGAAAAAACTTCAATTGGAAAAGGAAGATAAGAAAAATATCGCATTTTTCTAAATGCAAGATCAAAATATTGTAAACCGTTGAATCAATTTTATTAGCTCATGGTGAATTATACCAAAATGTATCCAGTTGACAAAATATTCATAATAGTATTATAAGTATTTTGTCAGTTGACCATTTTTTGATATCTCTAGTAGAAACCAAGATGAAATTAGGGAAATGTGATAGAACCTTGTATAACAAGTTACAAAATTCTGAATACCATAATTAAAAACTTTCCAGAAAGAATTTAGAAACGTCTGCAATTCCGACCCCTCTCTCAAAGTTCAAAATACCAAATTGCACTTTAGTGTCTACCCATGAAAAAAGGACATCGAATTTTCTCGACCCTCTTCTTATCACCACCCAAAAGCACCTATTCACTGAAAAAATGGTAGTTAAACAGTCGTTTTCAGTAGAACGAGGAAACTGAAAAAGTAGTGGCATGATGATGAGACTCAGGCAAGCTACAAATTTTTTTCATAGAAACGCGATAGTTACTGACTGATATCAGATCAATTTGTGATCTATCGGTGTGCTTGCAGTCTTTTTGACCAAGTTTTTCTGTAGGAAATGAATTGGATGTGAAGGAGATGATAATCTGAAGCATGGGAAGTCTGAAAAAAGAAATTGAGGATATTTTTCGATATCCGATCGGACACCGATAACTAGGCAAACTAGTTACTCCCTACCACGTGGGTGTCGTCTCACGTTTTCATTTTTTTATCACTGCGTGTAACAATATGTATTAATATTGAAACATATGTTTGGGTGCGACTTGAAAAGAACAAAAATCAAGGAGAAAACGTGACATACTTGGCATAGAGAGTAAAACGTCTGGAATCTGGATCTTAGTGATTCCACTATTGATATGCGATTTCCAAATTGGCACGCTCTTCAGAGGAAAAAAAAAGATGCTTATGAAAGCAAATCATCATTCCTGCCAGCGGAACAAATCCAGCTACCGTCTATATTCAAAATCGAAGTCAGTGGGTCAGTAGGATCCAACGTTTATCATATCATTTCCCCTTCGTTCTATTCGTTTTTCCGTCTTGATCGCTCTTTGTCGCCCTCTCTTCCCTTCTTTCGTCCATCGAGAGAGAGATAACATCAAAGTGGTGAAACAGTCAAAAAAGATAGGACTTGCGAGAGTGCGCGAGACGCAGACGCGTAAACTGGGCTGTTCGTTGACCCCGCCCCCGGAGAAGGGCCGAGTCCCTTTATAAGCGCTGTCCTCCGCCCAACAACTCAGCTCAACGTTCACTTCTGAGTTTCTCAGAACTTATCCTCCGAACACTATGCCCGCTACTTTCCTATTCACCTCGGAATCTGTCTCCACAGGACATCCGGATAAGATGTGCGATCAGGTAATTTTTGTTTTCTATATTTTCTTTGCTCTATTTTTTATAATTTTAGATCTCTGACGCTGTCTTGGACGCTCACTTGGCTCAAGATCCAAATGCCAAGGTTGCCTGTGAGACTACCACCAAGACCGGAATGGTTCTCCTTTGCGGAGAAATCACCTCAAAGGCTGTTGTTGACTACCAGAAGGTCGTCAGAGACTGCGTTAAGAAAATTGGATTCACCTCTTCCGATCTCGGATTCGACTCTGCCACATGCAACGTCGTCGTTGCTCTTGAGAGCCAATCTCCAGAAATCGCCGCTGGAGTCCATCAAGACAAAGGAGATGATGAAGTTGGAGCTGGAGACCAAGGAATCATGTTCGGATATGCTACTGATGAGACCAAGGAAACTATGCCATTGACTCTCCTTCTCTCCCACAAGATTAATGCTGAGCTTCACCGTCAACGCCGTTCCAAGGAACTCCCATGGGTCCGCCCAGACTCCAAGTCCCAAGTCACAATTGAGTACGAGTCTCGCAACGGAGCCACCATCCCACTTCGTGTCCACACCGTCGTCGTTTCTACCCAACACGATCCAAACATCACTTTGGAGACTCTTCGTCAGGAAATCAAGGAGAAGGTCATCAAGGCTGTGATCCCAGCCAACTTGTTGGATGAGAACACCGTCTACCACATCAACCCATGCGGAACCTTCGTCATGGGAGGACCAATGGGAGATGCCGGACTCACCGGACGCAAGATCATCGTCGACACCTACGGAGGATGGGGAGCTCACGGAGGAGGTGCTTTCTCTGGAAAGGACCCAACCAAGGTCGATCGCTCTGCCGCCTACGCAGCTCGCTGGGTTGCCACCTCTCTTGTCAACGCTGGACTCGCCAAGCGTGTGCTCGTCCAACTCTCCTATGCCATCGGAATCGCCAAACCAATTTCTGTTCTCGTCTATGCCTTCGGAACTTCTCCACTCACTGATGAGGAGCTCCACGAGATCGTCGAGGACTCTTTCGACCTCACCCCAGGAGCCATCATCAGGTGAGAATTTTAATTTTATTTGTGAAATATTATGAACTAGTATTTTTTCAGAGAGCTCGACTTGAAGCGTCCAATCTACGAGAAGACTGCTGAGAACGGTCATTTCGGTCATGCCGAGTTCCCATGGGAGCAGCCAAAGGCACTCAAGATCAGCCCAGCACTTATAGAGAAGGTCAAGGGAGGATCCGTCATTCCAGCCACCTCTGCTATCGCTCACTAGATTGTTTTCCGGTATGCATCTCACTTCCTCCCCAATCCATCTCGACGCATTCCTTTTAGATCTAACTTTTCTCTTGTTCCCCGTTCGTCTCCAAAACCTACCGACTCTCATTAGCTTTTCGCATGCACCCACAACTAGCAATTGTTTGAATATATTGTTAGATTTAGATTCTTTTTTTAAACTTTCTGGAACTATTCCAACCCGATACAACACCATCGTATTATAGTTCAACCTTCACGTATTTCACGGCTCCATACTTAATGATGAGCACTCTAGAATAGCGCTATCTTAGCTTAGTCGCACCCATTCAACTGCCCCGCTTGCACCCTCTAAATTAGCCTCTTTTCTGATGCGAATATTTTAGCTGCTGATGCCATCCCGGTTTCCGCGTCACACATCGCTGAGCCACAAAAAATCTTCCCAACAAAAAATAATTAGAAAAAAGTCGGAAAACCTTGAAAATTACAAATGCTTTTTTGCTCATACCTACTCTTCCCCTTTGGTCCTCACCTCGCTGCTCTCTCTGTATTATCGCATATCATACCTTGCAATTATGGAATGGTATCGGATGTCTTCATTATATACTCCCTCCCCCCTATATTCACGTTCTATTATTCCATACCATGGATATTTTTTGTATTCCTTCTTTTTTATTGTAATAATTTGCTTTTTTGAATAAATCTGAAAAATTGAATGGGAGCGAAATCAAACAATTGAAAGATCTTTGCAAGATAAGGCAATCATCGACTATTAAACGATAAAATGTTTTAATGATAAGATAACTTTGAAGGTAAAATTGACGTTGAAACAATATAATTGTGGTAAAGAATTTTTTAGAAAGGATAGGTTGCAAAAAGATGATAGGGATGTAGAGAAAAAACCGGAAATATATTTTTCTCCAACATTTGAAATTTTTGTTCTTCATCTCACAACAGATATAATCTTTCTTTTGAATTCCATCATTCGCCTAGATAAGCTGGCAAATCGTGCTTCTTTGGAATATATCTGATTCGAGAAATCTTGAATTTAGCATAGAAAACCTGCCTTCCCTTCTTTTCCCCTCTTTTGAACAATACATGCTATCTTAGGATTTCTTTTCCTCCTCTAACAAGCTATCAGATGTTATCACCTGCTGTGTAGACATAGAGGGTGGAAGGAGTAGGAGAAATATAATGGGTTAGGAGAAGGGAGAGCACGAATACAACTAGAAAGTAAATCAACGAGACCCAAAAAAAATTGTTCTTCTATTTCTTGATTAAAAATTTGTCAAACTGATTGGAAAACTGCGATTTTGGTGCTCCCGCATGGCACAATGCACTAGAAGACTTAGAGGAGGAATGCGATATTTTAACTTCTGCTCGAATAGCTCCAAGGCTCGAATGGTTATCAACAGGTGAGGGATTATTATGAAATCTGCTCACTGGAGCATTTTGATTGAAAGGAAAAGATAAAATGCATATAGTGGTAGAAATCACATAACAAAATCAGTTAAGAAATGTAAGTTTTCAGAGCACGAATCCGAGTAATTTGAAGGACACCGACAAGATGTGCTAATTTCTCTCCGCCATCTCCATGTTTGTAAAAAGTCATCAAATTGAAAAATATAAGTTTTTGATCTCAAAAATTGATTTGAAGTAAATTTCACAATAAATTTTAGCTGAAACCACAATCAAATCATTGTAAGAATCAATCTAAATGTAGTAAGAATCTAATAACAACAAATAAACAGTTAAATATTAGAAAAAGGCAGAGAGTCGTGATGAGTTCAAATGCTTTGCATTACTTATGAAATTCAAATGTTTAAAGTTTGTATTCTTGTGAAATTCAGCAATTTTCATGCTTCGGAAAAATGCCAAAAAATAGGGGGATAACTACGAAACTAGAGATTTTGGCTCTTTATGACAAGGAGGGCCCATGAAAAAAAAGGGGGGGGGGCAAGCGAAAAGGGGGGGGGGGGGCATGAAAAAAGGGGGGCCCATAGGTAAAAATGTGGACTAAGTTAAGATTTACCAATTTTTTCACGTTTTTCGAATGTTTCTATAAAAATTTCGTACTTTGCGCATGTTTCCACGAAAAATTTGTCGCTTCAAAAAATTTCATTTTAGGTCGGTTTTTTGCATGAACAACACTATTTTTTCCATTGTATCTGTGTCATTAAAAGTTATTCAGCTAGTTCGAGATTTTTCAGGTTTAGTAACAAAAAATATACAAAAAATATGCAAAAAATGACATAAACTGAAATTTTCAAAAAATTATGAAAAGTGTTCAAAGTTCGAAATTTTAATGGAAACGGTCACAAAACTTGAAAAAATCGGTAAATATCAACTCAGGCATAATTTTCCCACTTGGGCATCCCCTTTTGACTTGCCCCCCTTGTCATAAAGAGCCGAGATTTCTATGTCTTCCATGTTTTCCGAAAATTTAAAAACCAAACGTTTTCAAACTACTTTCTGAGATACATCATGTATCAAAAATTATTTTCTCAACGAAATTATTTTGATTCACACCCGGCGGCTTTTTCTTTGGCATGTTTTGTGTTTTTTTCAAATTCGAAATTTGAAAGTGTATATTTTTGAAAGCACAATAGAAAAATGATCGCGAATGAAAAATGCATTTATTTCTAAACTGAATGTCACTAAAAAAAGTAGTACACAAATTTATATCTTCATCGTGATTCCATCGAGTTGGTAGAAGTACTGTGCCAAGACGGTCTTTAAAACGGCAGCTTCTTTCTTTTCGAATTCCGGAGTTCCGTCCGATTTCACAAGTACTTCAAGCGTTGGGATGTGCACTTTAACACCATCCAACAATTGAGCTAACAAATTCAAATATACAAAACTGCGCAGTTTCATATACTTGTCTTCCTCCATAACATATCGCTTTTTATACTTGAATAAAAAGTTCCGAACGAATTTGCACCTTTTCCTGATGGTTTTGGGACTTTCACTGGGATCGGGAATAACAACATGTTCTTTGAACTTGTCGAAAAATAAGTTTTCAATGTTCTCTGAAAAATACCATGTTGGTGAAGAACTTGTCACATTGCCTCAACTCACCAGGATGCATTCCATGCTTCATGACAGACTCAATATCTTTGATAAAGAAGGCCACGGATTTTTCAACGGTTTGTAGCACAAACTCTCCAAATGACAATTTGGAAATGATCTCGAAGATCGGAACGGCCTCGAGTTTCGTGATCCCTGAAAATGAGAGAAATACTTTTATCTAGGAAACTCATGCGACTACTTTCAGCAAGAACTCTCTGAAAATCGGGTCCCGCAAGCTCCTTTAGCTTTAGTCTTCGCTCCTTCTCCTCTGGATTTTCAGGAACAATTGAAATAAAATCCATGATTGCTTTTTTACGTTCTGGTGTCATAGGAACCAGTTTGTATGGTACCGGTTCCTGGTCCAGCCCAGCAGCTTCACGGTTCTCCTGTATCAGCCGATCCATGAGCTCATCTTCGGTTTCTTCTATCGTCACCTTCTTCTTGTTATTTTTCTCTCTTTTCTTAAAGTTCTTCTTCTTGCTCTTGGAGCCCACCGAAGGTCCCTTGTTTTGCGAAACTAGATACCAGATTTTCCCATTGATGACACAAACCGAGGATTCTCCTGGAGGTGGTACTTGCCTGTAAAAATCAAGAAAATATGTTTGCTCGAGACTTTGTCACTGATGAATGTGTTGTCACAATAACATCTATATTTTCAGTATTTATTTTATTTTTTCAGAAACCGAGAAAAATTCCTAGTTCTTTAGCTATTTGTCGATATCTGAAAAATACATTTCGTCTCACGTTTACAGTACAAAAATTGAAAAAAAAACAGAGTAATTCAGAAACCGGCAAATAGCTGTAAAACTTGGAACTTTCAAAAACTTTCTGTGAATGCAAAGTTTTTAATCCATGACTGTTTTATGCGCTCTAAAATTGAAAAATGATTCGAAACTTGGAAGCCCAAGTCCAGATTTTTGAAAATGGCCAAGATGACCAACAATTACAGTAAAACTTGTATTAGAAAGGTCACTTAAATAGAAGGGCCTCTCTAATAGAAGAGCCTCCGAGAGGGGTTTGGAAAAATAGAAGGGGCCCTGTAATAGAAGGGCCCCCGTAATAGTAGGGCCTTAAATGAAAAAGGACCACTTTGAAATGTGTCTTGAAATGGACAAATTTCTGTACATTTTCTATGAAAAACATTCCGAAATTCCACAATTTAATAAAAATTAGCTTGAAGACTATTTTTTTAATAGAAAACTTGCTCAATTTTATCTAAATTGATAGATTTTCATAAACTTTGAACGTAAATTTGTCAAATTTTTTGATGAAAAATTTCGGGAAAGATGGTCGGAAAAATAGAAGGTCCTCTAATTCAAGGGCTTCTGTAATAGAAGGGCCCCCCGAAGGTACTTTGGAAAAATAGAAGGCCGACCCTTTTAATACAGGTTTTACGGTAACTGAAAAATAGGTTTTTTTTAAAAACTATCTTATACTGTATGTGCCAACAAAATCACTGTATGTTTCAGTGGATTACGGCAGCTAGTGTCAGAAAACAAGGTTTTCTTTCATTGTTCACGCTTACTCTAATTCTTGCCCGTTAGGCTGTCCTTCTTCTAGAAACTCCTCGTGATCTTCCTCTGTGATACTTGACAAGCTTGAAGCGCGTTTGTCCATAACTTTATTTCCAATAATTTTTCTGACGATATTTCTAAAATTTGCAGTAGCTTAATAGTTTGAAAAGCGTATAAAATGAAGCAAAAAAAATGTTGAAAACAAAATTCACATAATCGCGATAAAGCCAGACAACTCATACGGAAATAGTAGTGCGGCAACTAGAGCAATGGGTTATGGATAACGAGCAAAAGGTAGCTAGTGCGAGATTGGATTTTCGACTCTTCCGGTGCTGCTGTTAATTTCCTTTGTAGGAGGAAAACATATCATGCGGAATATGAGTGAATATGTAATAATTATGAGTTGGTTAATAAAATTATTACTGATTGAAAATGAATTACTGAATACAATAATTACTGAATTGTTATCATCCTAAGTTAAAAAAAACAACTGGAAATTAAAGTTAGGATGTTCTTCTGACCGAGTTTTTGATTGTTCGGTTAACGATCCAGCGTTTTTCAGAAGAAATTTCTCAGCCAGGTTTTTGACAGAAAGTTCAAAAGAATCTGGTGAATCGGTGTTTGTTGGATACGGAGGTTTAAGAAATTTCTGAAATGGACAAATATGTTATGAACTTGACCTTCGTTTACCAGTTGAACATTTTTATCCAGAAAAGATCTCTTCTCAAAGTCATCAATAGAATTGGAAGCTTCAACCACAGAGCGAGAAGTTATGGGATCTGTGATATCAAGAGCATCCCATCCTCTAAGTTTCTGAATTTTAAATAAAAATCATTCAAGTGTCACCTTTTATTATAGTTAGTCACTTTGCATGCTCACACACCTGGGTGAGAATTTCTTTCTGATTCTCACGAATTTTCCAAGCCGCTTTACCCTCCTCAGTGTTCAAGAATGGCAGTTTAGGCATTCTGAAAAGATAGTAGTGTAACAAGTTAATGGGACACACATTTGTCCTTGAATTTTCAAAATTACACGAATGAAGAAGCGAAAGAAACTAGGAGAAACAACCGAACTGACACCGTCCGACCAACTCGGCCGGTTCCAATAAGAAGACAATTTCAGTCGACGCTGCTACAGTCCTTTCCCGATGAAATGTGAGGAAAAGGGGCGGGCGTAAAATAGCAATCACGTGAGCTTTGGCAAAAATGTCTTCTCACTTTTTTCTTGTCTAAGATGGGAAGAGTACTTTGTTCAAGAAAGTTTTGGAAGGAAGAAGGTGAGTGGGAAGATATTTATCATCTGGGAAATGAAAAGAAAGTGTTTCTTTGTGTAGATGCCTCTATCGTTTTAAACATGAATAGATACAGTAGCGGTCCATAAGATACATAAAAACGATATTTTCAGTTGATTTTCGGCATTATCAGAAGTATGGAGTTCGGATGTCCTGTTTTCGATAATTTTTCAAACTTTGGAAGATATAAAACAGACCTAGGTTGAAATCTTTGAATTGACAAAAATTTTTGAAAATTCCTAGTTCTTTAGCTATTTGCCGATTTCTGAAAGACACCTATTTTCACGTCTCCAACACAAAAACTGGTCCAAAAAGGTGATTTTCAGAAATCGGCGAATTACTGAAAAACTAGAAAGTTTGATTGAGGTCTGTTTTACATTTTCCACAGTTTTCAAAGTGATCGAAACTTTACCGCCAAGGTCCACAGTCATGAAAAATGCTAAAAATCAACTGATAACAACGTATTTGTATCTCTTGACCGGTACTGTAGGTATGACAACAATATTATTTGTATGGATGTGTTGTATTTGTCGGCCTGTTGAAAACTTTTGTAGATCAAGATTTTTTGAGTACAAACTATCGGAAATCAGCACTTACAAAACCTTGTGGAATATTCAATTACCATCATTGAATTTTAGATACGCTCTGCTTTTTTAGATACGCTGTTCTTCGCGAAAAAAAAACGTTTGTCCCGAAAAAAAGTTTATTAACCAAGGAATATAAGCGGAGAAAAAAACAAACACGAAGTTAATACCCTACGAACTTGAGAATTTTGGCTTGGTCCTTAAAAAGAGTTTTAATAAAGTGTTCTTCTCTTGCCATATATGTTTCGCGGTCCGTCCTTCCAAATAGTTTGATGAGTGTTGGTCCGACTTCTGTTGAGTAAAACTCCTGGAATGCTCCAAAGACTGCAGCCAAAAACATGTTGCAGGTGCCACCTGCCTTCTTTGCTCCACTAATTCGGATATTCAACAAGTGCCCGTTGTCAATGTCCCTTTGATTTGTCACATCTTTTGGCTCTCGATGGTCAAAAGGAACCACCAGTGGGTTTGAGTACTTCTTTCCTGAAATTTGATTTTCTGGTATCAACTAGAAAAAAAATCAATTACTCACCTTTCAGTTTCTTTATTGAAGCACAGAACGCCTTCACTTTTTTGATGATCATTTGGTGTTCCTTATGTCCAATACACTGTTCCTCAAATGCTTGGACGGCGGCTCCTGTAATTTTTTACTTCGATTTCACCGATCTCAGGGTGATAATTCGGAATTTGCAGACATCAGAAGTCTTCCCGTTCACTAAAATTTTTGTGAGAAAAAAAGTTACTAACTCATAGATAATTCTTCTCGGTATTCCTTCATCTCCTCCGCGGTCACTTCCTTTTTGTCCTCTTCTGGGATAGTCTCCTGATTTTCTTCCTTCAGTGGGGTTTTCTCCTCCTCATCTTCTTTTAGTTTTTTCAGAAGACCCTCTTGTGCTTCCGCTTCTTCGTTTTCCATGGTTTTCTTCTCTTCCTCTTCGGCTTTCATTTTTTCTTGCCATTTCTTATTTTCTTCTATTCCAAGTTCCATGGCAAGACGGTCGTCTTCCGTCACCTTCAGGACATTCTTCAACTTTTTTTGATTTGAAGGTTTCTTCTTCTTCTGTGGCGAAGAAGATGACGACAATGAAGGTGTCGCTGATGACGGTTCCGTTGATGAAGGTATCGACGGTGACGAAGTCGATGAAGACGGTGATTCTTTCTTAATTACTATCTTCCTTTTCATCTTGCTGGCAATTTCACTTGTTGAGGCACCGCTGAAAATATAAAACTAGATTAGCATCAATTGACGCCAAAAAATGAGTCTTACTTGATAACAATCTCGAAACCGTCATTGTCAAATTGCTTTGGTTTCGGTGGGTTGTGAACGGTGGAAGTGTCAGGGAAGGCACGTCTGAAAGTTGCGAAGCGCATGAATTGTGTTAAACGAAAGGAACAAGAAATGAATTTGCGAAAAGGTTGTGAACTTGAAAGGGGGACAATTGGCATTCAAGACTTATCAATAAATCTGTGAGTTAAAATTTGCAAAGGAGCATGCTGGAAGTCAAACATTGTACTTTTGCAAATTGAGCTCGATTATCTCGGTTCCAAATATATATTTTTTGTCAACTGCTGAAATATTTTTCGTAAAATCACCAACATTTAATTAGTGAAAAAATTCTCGATATCTTTTGAAGGAACCGAAATAATTGAGCCCAAAATGCACTTACACTGTTCTTTAGATCATTGAAGTTAAACTCTGCATGCCATTAGGGTGTATTGGAGCATTTACGATAAGTTTGAAACAATGTTACAATTTCAAAATCAAAAAACTTCCAAACTTGATAAACCATACTTTTTGAAAAAAGTTTTCCAGTTGTCCGTAAATATTTTAATAGAATACCGCTATCTCAACTTTGATTCAATTCATCTTGTTTTCTGTGAAGGATATCAAAAACTATTCAACTGACAAAATATTTTTGATAAAAAAATTTCTGAAAATATTTTTTCCTGTTTCCTAGCAGAGCTGAGCTGAAATTTTCAAACTGAAAATTTTCGGACCGAAAAAGTTTTCGTTATAATTTTTTTTTTCGGTTGGTAGTAAAGTACAGACTGTTTTTTCACGAAATATAAATTTAAATAAGAAAAAGTGTAATGGATTAACTTGAGAAATCCAAACATTAGAACCTCCCAAAAATTTTCTAAAACTTCGAAAATACGTTTCGATTCCGAAAAATCATCATTTCACTCCAGAATTTCAACCAAAAATCGAAAAGAATTTTTTCCGGTTTTTTCGATCAACATTTCCGAAAAAAATTTACTTTCTGAATTTTTTCGGAGCCTAAAACCGGAAAATGATTTTTTTTCCAAAATTTTTCGGACACTGAAATCGAAAAAAAAGTGTTTTCCAATTTTTTCGAAGGTTTTTTTGTATGTCAGCCCTGTTCCCTACCAAAATTGTCGCTCAAAATGACAAACGCACAGTGTTCCAGATATTTTCAAGACATAATAAAAAAGTCCCAATGCCAGTTTTCATGCAGTTTGAAATTCTACTCCGTTTTCTGAGGAATCATGCCTTACGAATTGATGATCCAAACTGCAATCGAAATGATGTCCGTTATAGTGCATAGACCCGTTCCCAACTTATACCTGGAAAAACATACAATAGCGAAAACCATGCGTTAGCAGTCCGGCGTTGATATTGTATCATATGGCATTGTTAAAATTGAACTTCTCTGAACAAACACGAACATCGCTCGTTAACGAAGAGAGTATAAGAAAAGTAGCGCTTAAACAATTTTTCTGAAATGAAGCTTTCGATGAAAAAGTGTCAGTTCGATTTTAAAGATTGATTGTTTTGATCAGCATGCCAGCTTTTGATTAGTTGAAGCATTGTTTCATATGAACAATTTAGAATAAGCAAATGTTAGTATATTTACATGAAAGGAAGCGATGGGAAAGATTGCTCAGAGAGCCATAAAATGTGTTTGTGAATAAACCTCTCTCAAAATCTTAATTATTTGATTTGAGGTTTTACCAGACAGTTTGCGTACGTTTTCTTCCAAGAAGAGGAGGGTGGATGTGGTTTCGAAGAAACAGAAGATCCTTGAGTTTTGATACGATTTCCAGACTGAGATTCTTTTGCAGAAAAAGGCTGAATTGGTGATTTCGATTTCACAACTGATGCCCATGTCTTGGTTTTTGTGTTGTTGCCGTTTTGCTCTTTTACAGAAGGAACTCTGAGATTCGGATTTTTCTGACCTAAATTCTGGTATAACTCACTTGTTCTCATTCAGAAGCGGATGACCACAGAGTTTTGAGGACTCCGGTTTCCCAGAACCAAGCGAAAGGACATGAGTCGTCGATGATTTAATTGTCTTCTTTTCATAAGCTGGAACACTTGAGAGTACAGGAAATTCGTCTTCTTCAAAAATTCTGTAATAAGTTCATTGACAAGATTTTTCAGATTTCCTAAAACTCACGCTTTTGGATTTTTCGTCTTCTCATCAGGCAGGGATTCGACCTCATCAAAACCAGTTTTCGCTAGCCCTACTACGTCCTTCTGTTGCATCAATCGAGTTGTTGTTGCATCAATCAAATTGTTCCCATTGCTACCTGGCATTACGAGGACTCTGAAAATCAGAAGTCAATTGTCAGCCCACAATTTCGGTAGAACTCACTTGTTGTCCTTTAGAATAAGAACTTCACAAAGTTTTGAGGACAAAGTGGAAGAAGTTCCCTTTTCCAGCTTTGCAGAATCAGGCGGAAGGACATGAGTAAGCGGTGGTTTAGTTGTTTTCTTTTTAGAAGCTTGACCACTTGAGAGCACAGAAATTGTAATTTTTTTGAAAATTCTGTAATGATTCCATTGACAAGGTTTTTCATGCTTCTGAAAACTCACGCTTCTGGATTTGGAGCCTTCTCATGAGACAAAGATTTTACCTCATCAAAGCCTGTTTGCTCTTTCTCATCCAAATCAGTATTCTCACGACCAGCTTTTTTGGTATCAGTCGTTGCTGGTTCCTCAGTGACTTCATCGACATCGATGTTTGGCTGCTCGATTGTCTCAGAAGTTGGCCACACCACATCGTTTTTCGGTTTCTTTCCAGACTTATTTTTCTTCTTTCCCGTCTTTGATTTCTTGTTGTTGTTCTTGGCTACATGTGGAACGAACCCAACTTCATCGATTTCGGTTGGTCGATCAACGGATTGTTTTTCAGACGAATACTCACGCCGTTTGCATGGTGGGAAGTTGGAGGTTTTCAACTGAAGCGGTGCCATGTCTGAACTTGGAGGAATAGTCGGGATGGGGACAATTTTCTACTAACCTGGGGATGTTTGAGAAGTCAGATCTCCTCGATTTCTACCGCAAGATGAAGAAGAATCCGCATCAATGTCTTTATGACCAGCGTTTCTGGTTTCAGTCGTTGATGGTTCTTCAGTCACCTCATCCAAGGTCGACGAACATTCATCGTCAGCCAATGTCACCTCGATTCGGATTCTGTAACATACTCTCGTGATAATTTCAAAGTTTTGCTTATCTATTAAAAAACTCGTTTTCTCATGGAATACAACTTTAGCTCTTTTTCTGAGTATTCGATTTGACTGATTCGAAATGAAAATTCAAAATCAGTTCAGTGGGCTTGATTAACTTTACCAGTGTCGTAAACCAAGATAAAACCGAAGTTTTGAGAAAACGACAAATTTCAGAAACTGTTGGATTCCCACTGTTCAGAGATACTAACTAAACAAAATTCTCAAGCAATTAATCAAAAGTATTGTTTGTGATTACAGAAATAAAACGATGCATATTAGAGATTTTATGGGGTCAACAGTCAGACTTGAAATTTGAGTAGTTCATCACGTCAAATATATTGCAGATTAAAAAAAAAGAAAATTCTATTTCATTGTTTACTCTAAAGTGAGTCACATTGCCTTTAAAGTTATTAGTTATGAACCATTTTGGTCTATTCAAGTTTTACAACTGAAAATATCAATTTTACTGAAAAATGATAGTAACCGTTTGAAATACAAAATTTTTCAATCTGACTCAGCGAAATTCAACTTTTTTATTTAATTTTATTTTGGGGCTTCTAGAATTTTATACATTATTGCTATCATCCATTTACAGAAAATGTTGTAAGCCTATTTTGAAACTTGGACCAAGTTGAAACTTAAAATTCACATTTGAACTCACATCGACTCCTTCTTTTTCTCATGAATCCGAGAGAAAATTGGTGCGGCTTCCGGCGTTCCCACTTTATAGGATTTTGGGACAATTGGCAACACGAATCGAGGTGCCATAATCCTTGGTTGAAAGGGAACCGCGTTGATGTTGAACACGGTTCCCCTTTTATTTAGAGGAAATCTGACTTCTGACGCGGGAAAGTTGGCATTTTGGAGAGCCTAAAATTGAATCGGAACTTCTTTGAAATGTTCAAATCTAGCGCATACAGGGAAACATTTTCATATCGAGTTCGCCATTTTTTCAATGTTTGAGGATCAGCTGACCACCCGATATATCTCAATTTTTCCAGTAAGTTCAGGCATTCAGAGACGGAATGTTAAAAAAAGCTGATGCGATTGTTCCAAAAAAATATAATTTTTTGTGGTTTTTATTACTTATACTGTTCAGGGAGTTACTGTGAAACATGTAACAGAAGGGCCCACATAGTCAAGTTTGAGCTTTATTATCCCAATTTATACGTAAGATTTCGAAAATGTAAGAATTGACAAGAAATTCCTATATTACGATAAACAATCTGTCAGTTGACAACTTTCGTATATCTTCGATAAAACCAAGAAAATTGATCTCAAAGTTATATTCTGAAGTCTCCAATTTAAATGCCATCTATTACAGATTTTACGGATGTTTCGAAACTATCGGAAAGAAACTTTTATTTTTATTTTTTTCAAAAGTTAAAAATGTTTACTGTCCTATATAAATTTTAGGCTCGCTCGTATTACAGTAATTGAAAATCTTTTAACAGCTTTCCAAAAAAAAGGAACATAACTCACCGCCCAATTTGCGAGTTTCTTCTCGAATTCAACAAGAGAGTTCTCGTCTTTGATCATTTGAAGATCACCGATCACTTCCGGGTTGGAAAAATCCAAATGCAACCATCCGTTTAGCCTCTAAAATTGTTGCGACTATCAATGGAACTTTTATCAACGCTTACGTCCGTATGATTTCGTATTCTCTGTTCTCGCATTTGGAGCCATTTTTCTGGAACGGTTCCGTTTGTGGAAGACAGTGAATTGGTCATTTTGGAGCTTTTTTTCCAAGAATGGTAGAGTGTAGAAAATCTGAAATTCAGAAAAAAAATATGAAGAAGGAAAAATATTAAAAAAACGACTGGGAATAAAGGATAAAAAGCATCACTTAAACCTATTTCTGGATGATTTAAGATATTTCGAATCTTTACTACATCTGGTAAAATTTACAAGATTTTCAAAGATTCTAGAATTCAGGCACGGCAGACAATGAAGAGAAATAATGTTTAACAACTACACAAAGCGTTTTTTGACATTTTTCAATGATAAAAGTCAACTTTGAATAAACACGCATAGTGAACTGCACATTAAGGGTGGGCTTGAGCACACACATATGGTATTCTGAGAGCAACCATTTGAGACAAAGGAGAGGAAGAAAACATAGAAAAAAAATCATTTAGATACTAGGATGAATCCCCAAAGAGATTGAGAAATTGTGCAACCGCTAGACACTGAACGATCGGTGTAAACTTAAAGTTCTCTACAAATTCCACTATCTCTATAAACTCACCGATCGTTGAGTTTGTAGCGGTCTTTAAGTTTTTTAGCGATAGTTGAGTTTCTAGCAATAGCAAATGAGTTTAAGCGAATGAACGATCGTTATAAACTCAACGGTTGCTGGAAACCTAACAACCGCTAAAAACAAAAAAATCGCTACAGACTCAAGAAACGCTAGAAATTTGCCGATCACTTTTTTAGGCGAGATTCAAATTTTTAGCGATAATTGAACTTCTGGCGATCGCTTAGTTTCTAGCGATTGTGGAGTTCATGACGAATGCTGAGTTTGTGGCAAAGACTGCATTTCTAGCAATAGCTGAGTCCTCAGAGTTTATTTAGTTGCTAGCAATCGTTGAGTTCCTAACGAGTTTCGAGTTTCTATCAAGTTTCTGGAAAGCAATTTTCAGAGGACGATAAGTTTTCAGCAAACGATTTTGCGGATGCTTTAAAGCAAGTGGTTCTGGCAAATTATTTATCAAAAATTGATTCACAATGTGCTGAGATTCCCTTGTTATGACTCACTGAACCCAGGAAATTCAAACCAACGACCGAAAAAATTGAATTACCAAAAAAACAGTTTCATTGAGTCATCAAGTTATATTTGATAAATGTTTTCAAATTACAGCAAAAATTCACGATTTTCCCTCACAATTAATTTAAAAATTGATTTTCAACCCTGAGATTTTTTAAAACCGATTTTTTGGATTTTTTCTCATACCTAATCATCAAAGAGAAAACAAAAACTACAAAGAAAAATAGCGGCACCTTAAAATAGGTCTTGCGCAAAAACAACGCGAATTCCCAAAAAAACTGTGGGAAAAGAAGGGAAAAAGGAAAAAAAAGAAAGTGGACGAAATCTAGAAAGGCCATCGACGTACTAAAAAGTGTCTTGCTCCGCATCTCCGTCTTTTTCTTTAGAATGTTAGTCTTGCCTCTATCTTTTAATGGTGTACTGTAGTTTTATGATAGAACAAATGTCAAATAGTTTGCACTTTTGGGAGTTAAAAAAATTTTCCCCTTAAACTTATTTTTCGACAAAAAATTTGGAAAGTTCTTCTTAATCTAAGAAATCGAAAAATAGAACGGAATCAGATAGCCGGTAAGAGTACGATTCATCTTGAAAAACTCAGAAAGATAAGAAGAAGTTGATCCGAAATCATTTTCGTTCTTCTAAGATAGAACTGTGATGTCAGAAATCTGGATAAAAAGAGTTTATTCTTTCAAGTCTTAATCTTGACAGAACATCACTACGGATCAAGTACTTAGGACTAAAAAAATATAAAACTAAGGGCAAAAAGATAAAGGAAACTGGAAGAAAAATGAGCAGAGAGAGGGAGACAATGAGAAACAAAAGAGAGAGGGAGAATCATAAAAAGCTGCATATGCAAAACATAGAAGCGAAGGGTAGGAATTTTACTAGGAAAAGAGACTGTTGGCCCCTCTCTCCTCAACAGAGATTCGACGATCCGTGCGCGCTGGTAGATATGATGTCACACTTGAGCGCTTTGATTTTTTCGCAATTGAAGAAGAAGAGGGGGAATAAGAGGAGGGGCTTGGCATTTGGCTCGAAGGGATTGAATTGGGAAAAGGGGTGATGGAATAAAAAAATGTGCGTGTAGGAAACGACTTTTTGGGTATGATAATATGTATAGATGGAGGTAAAGGGATAATGTGTTTTCGGGAATTGTGTGGTTGAGAGTAAGACGTACTATCATGAAAAAAGCCTCGTATTTGTATATCTTCATATTTTTTTTTTAAATCACGTTTTTATAGAAAAAAATATGTATCGGTGACAGTATATTTTTCAAAAAAATTCCTTTCAATCGAATGTAGCCGAACGACGAAGGGGCAGTTGTGATCTTTCAGGAATTCAATTTCAGGTCCACGGTCGATCTCACAATTTATGTCCATACAAGAAGAGAAAGTTCAGTGATAAAGCTCAACAGGTGCTCTTCGTACAAATGTATATATAATGTTATAAGTTTCTAAGAGATTTTCAGAGTGAAAAATCAGTCATGCGGAATCATCTGAAACTGCTCATTCACGCTGCATAAGAACAATCTTAAAATTCGTCATCTCGTCACCAAAAGAGCAACTTTTTTCCGTTGTTTTGGGAGTTTTTTTTCCTGTGAGTGATTGATTCGGACCATGTGCAAATAATCTTAAAACTAAGATCTGTTTTCAGTGTCTGGAAAACGAATGACACAAATTGCCTTGGAACTTCCGAACTTGTCCAAAATATCTTTCTATTTTAATCACTGAAAATTGACTTCTTGAATCGAAAATTTAAAAAAATTTATGTTTACATAACAATTGCACTTGTACAGAAAAAAAACAATGAGACCATGAAAAATTTTTGAAGAACAATTAAGATCGATAACAAGAACAAGATCAATGATATGAAAAAGAAAATTTGAAAAAAAAATCGTAAAAATAGATATGAAATTTCTAGAGTTACACGTTCAGATGAAACATGATGCGAATTAAAAAGATGTTTGGTTGGGGCAAACGATTCGACAAATTTTGCTAAACATTTGCTCCACCCTCGTGAAAAAGGAAAGTGACTAAAAAATCTTACACTACAGATTTCACATATGGTCTCGCGACCTGTGAATCAATGGTTTGCTTTCGATGATCGGAATATTGTCTTTTCTGTGAAGGTCCACATCAAAACGACCGTACTTCCGATTATTCCTCTCTCTGTCCGCTTCATACTCTTGCATTGATTCCATTTGGAAGGCAGTGAAGCAATCGGCGAGCTGACAAAGTGATTTTTTTCAATTAGTTTTGATTATTCGGCATTTCCAGCTTAAAAATTAAAGATACTCACCTCATGTACGCTCAATTTTGAGAAGACACCGGCGTGTGCTCCATTTTTGCATGAAAAGGCTTTACATTGGCATCCGACCTTGTCCAGTCCGACGTAGCCGCTACCGTAGTTCAAGGTTAGCTGAAACAAATATTTTCTTATAATATTGAAGCAAAAAATTAACTTACAAGCTCTCCAGGCATGATAGCTTTGGTAGAGTATAGAATCATTTTTGCGTGAGCTGGACTGAAACTTTTCTGATAGATTCTCACTGGTTCCAGATTGGCAACACAAGAGTGCATCAAAAATCGAGATTTGTTTCCTTGATGGAGGCAATCCAGAAAAACATCGTATTTATATATTTCTTTCAGTTGTTTGAGGAACGTCGGTGGGAAAACTTTTTCTTTCGCGAGCAGAGCGAGAAGATATTTGGAGTCTTCTACCATATCGGTTAACTGCATACTGTAGTCCAATGCCTCGCCTTCAACAATTCGGTCTCGAACGAGCTCCCCAACAAACGCCATCACTGGTGTTCCTGATGGAATGTAGGAAGTGGCTCGAACGCGAAATCCAATCAGGTCACTTTGCCGATAGATTTCCATTGGGAAAATTTTGGCATCAGCGGTGTAGAGTGCGTTGTTGTCACACTTCCCTCCACAGCCACATATATTGGAACAGGCAAATCCTCCGTGGTTATGATAAGCGGGGGTGTCGTCGTTGTATTCGAGCGGATCGAACGAGTTCTGAATTGAAAAACAGATAGAGGATGAAAATTTTTCATAGATACTCACATATACGGCTTGATTATTCTTAACAGAGTTGAGTTTCCGAAGCATTATGTTCGTTTTGTAACACGGACAGTTGGGGTTCTCGAAACAATTTGCGATTCCACCTTCAGTTTTTGGTTTGCATGGACATTTTATCTGAAATTGTAAAAATATTTATCAGGTTTTTCAATTAAAAAAAACTTACATGGTTCCCCTCTTCGCTTGCCAATTCCACAATTTCTGCCAGCCCTGGTTCCACCACTTTGTCGACTATATTGTTATCAGTATAGTCGAAACAAACATTTCTGGGAAAAATGAGATTGTTCCAATTCTCATACGGCCTATCCGAATACACCGGTATTTTGAAATCAGTGTAGTCTTCACACCGGGACCAGGAGATGTCTGTTGACATTCGAAGGCGATTAGTTGGTGGAGTGTAGATGAAGTGTTTGTGAGAATAGTGTCTCAGCTCACTGAAAATTATTGTATTGACTTTTCATTTTAGATTTTTAATAGTTTGATGATTTCTAAGCAAACGTTTTGGAATATTAAAGCGAGATTTGAGCAAAATTTTTGAATTCACCGAAATGCTTCCAATGCCATGCATTCTCCTAATATTTTAATTTATTGAACAAATTCAAGAAAAATTCCGAAATCCACGAAAAACACCGATTTGAACTCTTGCTCAAAGAGATACCTAAGGCATGGCACCTAATAGCATTTTTTATTCAACAATTTTCCGGATTTATGGAACTTTTAGGTATCCATCTTGAAAAATGTTTTTGAAATTGTCGTGGCTTAGCTTTCTCGCTGCGCCGGAATTCAAATCCTCGTCTCTTCTTTTTTGTCGAATTTTCCAATGTTTTGGTGTGATAAAGTGTTTTGGTCTTCAATTTTTGGGCCCAGTATCCGAAAGTACATCGAAAAAGGGTGCTTCAGTTTTTAAGGTTGGGGTCCAACGGTACATGGGACTTTATGGTACATGTAAGAGCACGAAACAGACTGTTTCTATTTCTGTTCAAAATTATAGGTTCAAGCTAAAAGGCCCCACACTCCAAAAATCCCATGTAACCTCCGAACCAATGTACCCTTTCCCAAGAACTCTTGGATCCTGGGCGTGAATTGAATTTTTGAAATGAAAGCTCGACGTTTAATGAGTCATTCTTTCTATTTTTAGAAAATATGACTTACGTGGGAAGAGTCCGTGAAGACAAATATGGTCTCATTTTGCACCATGCCTGCGGTACTCCATAGTTCTCCAAAGCTCTCAAAGCTAGATGGTACGATCGTTTACGAATCTGCTCGAAAGAGTCTTCTCTCATAACAAAGACACCCGAAAGTCCCAACTTCTTCACACGATTTTTTAATCTGACTCCTTCACAGTATAGAAGATATTGATCATGGTGACATATCACCTTTTCACTATCTTCCGTGAGCCATTCAATCTTTTTATTCACCGTCCGCTTGACGTAAGGGTGGTATCTCAACGATCTCCATTCCCGAATCTGAAACAGAAATACAGATTTACTATCAGTCAACTCTAATTGTAGACTCACCATGTTAGGGTTAACATTTCTCTCATCTTCAAGAATCACCGCGAGATGGGGTTTTTTGCGCATCTCCTCTTCTGGTTCTCTTTCTATGACATCTGGGGCATTCATCTGAAAATGTATAATTTATTTTCAAGTATTATTTCCATCGACAACAACCGTAACCTAACAATATTTTTTCCCATGTTTATTTTCTCTTTTTCGTCGTTTTCTGTCATTTTTCTCAGAAATAAGTCGGAAAATCAATATTTTTCTGTGTAAAAATTGGCTCGAAACGCACGAAAATTGAGATACGGATACGGAAAATGTCTTTGCGTTACGGTATTTGTAACACCTTTGGCTGAAGCCACCGGCGTTTTTCTTCCAAAGCTCCGATTTTTGTCGTACCAGGGTAACAATATCGCCACATTTTTCATTTTTTACTAAAAAAAAATTCACACCAGTTCACTTTCAAAGTTTTTCCAGGTTATTTCTCAGGAAATTTTCGTCTGCTTTCGAATTTTTCGGTTTCTAAAAATTACATTATGTGTAAAAAATCGTTAGCATCTTTATAGTTTTTGGTGCAAACAAATGTGGAGTTTTCAAAATAACTTTGGGTCCTGCTGATGAATTGAAGTACTGATGAACCTCGTATTGAAAATACGATTTTCCAAGATTTTTTCACTGATATTTTTTCAATATTTCCAATGTTTAATTTTCAACAAAACTCACTGGAAAATGAAGAGTAGGAATGATTCCGCGATCTGGCCCATTGCCTCGAATTCGTTTCTAAAAATGGACCATTCAAATGAAAAATTTTGAAAAAAAGAAAATTCACCCAGCGAGGCTCATCGTAACGGATATCTGGCAATTCTTTATACGACATTCTTGGAGAACATGAAGCTTCTGGGGTCTTCTGAAAAGCGTGTTCTAGGCATCCTAAATGCGAGGACTAATAACGGAGGTTAAGGGGCCTTTCAAGGTTGTTCCAACGAGAGTGTGAGGAGAAAGAGAGGAATAGAGAGGGAAAGGAAAAATTGGCAACATTCTCAACGGAAAATCGAAGAGGAAACTAGCATTATCAAACGAAAAACGTCATCAAAATGGCGGTGACTACAATTATAGAACAAATCAAAAAAGACAGAACCACGGAAAGTTGTTTCGTCTAAAAAGTGAACTTTTAACAAAACAAATCTAAGCCACTAGAAAAATTCATCTGTACTAACAGGTCGTTGTTGATCTTATCTAAGTACTTATACATTTAAAAAGGAGAAAAAAATTTAAAAGTGTAGAAAAAGAGTAGAAAAAGAAGAATAGCTGATTCCAGTAGACAGAAATAATACACGTCAAAAATTATATTCAGAATCATCTTATTTTCTCTCCGATTCTCAGTTTATCCAATGAAATTTTTCGAAAATGATATAAATTGATTCACTAATTCTAGAATCCAACAGTTTTTTTTTGGGTTTTAAAGAAACAAAACTAAGATTTTTGGGTATTACAGAAACAAAATAGAGAACCAATAAGAAGACAGGTCGGCCATTGATTTTGCACCTTCCTTGCTGTACGGTCCGTTTTGGTCCAAGGCAAGAAAATATGCCCCATGCAAAAGAATGATTCACACCCATTATCCAGTTGCCCTTCACGTAATCAATCACTCTGGAAAACGGCGACCTCCCATGAGAAGGTCACAGAAAGGAAAATTGGTAGTATATGTACAGTGTTAAATTGTTTTTCAGTTCTCTCAATTGAAAATCGCTCTGGAAATAGAAACTGAAAAGAAATCTGTTACAGCAAAAGTCTGAAGATGGCCCTTTGATTTATTTCCCATCTTTCCCATGTCTTATAGCTAGAAGATTCAATTTTCATTAGTACCCTCCAATGTCAACCCTTCGCGCACGCACTAAAAATATCTGGACCTCGCCTTTTCTAACTTGTTGATACTACACTTGTTAATCATGTCGGTCTCTTATGTATCACCAGATTGGGTCTCTAGCTGAGAAACTTCAATTATACGACTCATGCCATTCGAATCCACTCGTTTTCTGATGTTATTCATACCGCATTTCTCCAACATTATTTAGGCTTATGATGTTTTCCCCATTTTTCACTTATCCATGTACCTTATTCAATAGCTTTGATTTCCAAATTTTAGCTAAATAAGATATACTAACATGACTATTTCCTGATCTATAGTCGTTTAAAATGAATGTCTTTGTTATTAATCTTCGATGCATCTGCCTTCTACATAGTGTCCTAATTATTTCTGCCCCTGACCCCTCCTTTCAGACAGTGAGCCTCATTTATCCTCATCTCCATTTCCTTTCTTTTTAGGTTTTGAATCCTTTTTTTCCAATTTCGCAATACCAACTGTGACGACGCCTGTGTTTCGAAAGAGAAACACGAGCGATGGTGGGTATTGTGCGCGACGAAGGTGTCGCTGTGTCTCCTGATACTCTGGTCGCCACAGCAGCACGCATCGTTTCCATGTTCTCAATCTCTCTCGTGCCTTCCCTTTCCCCTCATCACCATCCCTCGCTTCTTCTTTTTCTTCTTATTCTCCTTCTCACTCCTTCTCCCTCCTTCTCTCTCCTGTCGTCGTCGAGCGGTGAGCGGTGAGCGGCGCACATGAGTTTCATCATCTTCTTTCCTCTTCTAGCGCGCGCGAGACGTTCAGCTAGCCAACACACACCTCTCGCATCAGCACCACACACGGGGCATTGACAAAATAGCGTGTGATGTGAAGAGACGCAGAGAAAATGCGCCCCGTTGGCAGTGAGAGGAGGTGGAAGGGCAGATGCAATGACGCTCATCGTGTGTGTTTGTGAGTGAGAGTGCAGAATAGATTACGTAAAGTGAAGAGAGTGCAAAAGAACGGCTGGGACGTCGCTCTTCGCATCCACGTAATGTATCAAGATGAGATGGAGAAATATAAAGGAGATTGACAAGACGCAGACAATGGGTTTGCAATAGTGCATGGATAGTGGAGAATTTGATTTTGTGTTCTAGCGGATGGTTGGGTTTGGGAGGAGAAGCAACCAATGAACGAAAAACAGATGGGAATGGAGAAGAACACGTGTTCTCATAGTGGAAGATCGTAATGAGACATGTTGCATAGCAGGAGAGATCAAAGATCAGTAGTTTGATCGCGGAAGAGATTATGAGAAGCTTAGCTTGTATCATTCAGTCTCAAAGTACAAAATGTCATACAATCAAAATCTGGCTGATAGGAAAAGCTTTATTTTATCATTTTGTAGTTGTCCCGTGCTATCTGAAATATTCGAGTGTGAATCAGATAGCTCACATGATATATACTAAACGACGTCTCAACTCGGGTTCCTCAAGAATTTGAATACATTTCCATGGTGATCCTCCTCTTCAGACTTTGAATTCACTTTTCAGAGAGTGGCTCTTCTCTTGTCAGGTTCATTTAGATGTGCCTTGGGGGGCAGGTGTAACCTGTTATTAGTGAGATAGAGAAGCATATGAGCTTCGGGTCTAGGCAGAAAATAGTCTCTATCTCACTCGAATTAGTCTCTTCTTCCTATGCACTCCATCAACAAATCTTTTGCTTCACAGGTAAACAAACTCGAAACTCAAAAAGTGCACTTCAGTGTCATGCTTCTCCATAGAAACCCTTCTCATTTCTCTTTCCAAGATTTTGTTGTCCTAAAGTAATAACCTGTGAACTTCTGAGCTGTTTGCTAGAGAAGCATGCCCCACTCTCTCTCTCTCTCCCTCTCTTTCACACATGTGTAACTGTTCAAAAAGAATGCTCTCAACAACACCCATTTCTCTCCATACCCCCCAATCAGAATCCAACGAGTGAGCTACACTATTTTCTTGATTGGATAGCTTTCCTCGTTTTACGACCTCCCGGCTTGTACTCTTTAGATGAAGTAGAGGGCCCAAAAAAGAGAACGACTAGCAATTCAGGTCTTTATGACTTTTCTCAGTCATTATTCGGCGGGATCTCATTCGACAAAGAGCAAGATTTTCTGGCGGCTAGCTCACTAGCATTATAATTCTCCTTCTCTTACTCAATCTTCGTATACAGACAGCCGAGTCTTAGTTTTTGATAGCTACCGTATGAATTTTTAGCTTTATTTTTGAAACAAGCTATACGTGTACTCTTCACATGCCTCTAAAGATGCTGTCATGTTTCATCATTTTATGAATTTCATTCTCGTCTTATTTTCCCGTTTTGACACTCCGATGCTTTTTCAATTAGAATTCCAAGGCTCTCTCCTCTCGAAGCATGCTCGCAATTAGTAGATTCGTGGAGACAGGTGTGTATGGGTTGAAATGATAATCTTGAAACATGTTTTGGAGTGAACGGAAATTGGTTCAGTACTCGGGGCTTTTACGAAATGCGTATCTCTACTCTCTACTTACACAACACATCTTTCCATTCCCTGTCGCAATGAAAACATCTATCGCATGGTGTGTACTCTTTCCGCTTTCCCGCGTAAATCATATTCAAAAAATTTCTCCTCCGTTCGGCCCCGCCCCCTCGATGTGTTCTGGAAAGGTCGCTGGTCACCAGCCTCTTCATCTCTTCTTGCTTCTCGTATTGTTTATAGCAATCATCAGTATGCATAGCCGGTTTTTATGGAAGAGGGTGATAGGGTTTCGAGGAGAGGGTATGAGTCAAAATAATTTGTCCCTGCGCTTTCAGCTATTCACTGTCATTTTATCTTTTTGGTTATGCCACGTGCAATCAATTTCTGCCAATGTTAATCTATTTCCTATTGCTTTTCCATTTCCGTATCTTTCTCTCATTCGACTTCCACTTCTACACTAAATTCTTTGTTTTTTTCAGTTTCGAAATTGGGTACACCAATGGATGATAATAGATTGGTGCTTTGCAGCTACGAGGAGCCACGTGATTGGGCTTTGAAGGTAATTAGAAAAGTCAGAAGCATGTGTTTTGAAACAATCATTTTCAGAATGGCCAGAAAGTCTACTGCGACTCTGCTTTGAAAATCACAAAAGAGGTAATTAGATTCACCTTTGGAGAATTGTAGCTTTCTCTGTTTCAGGTTTTGGAGGAAATTCTGAAACGGCATCCGAGCGCACGGAAATTGAGAGATGAGGGGAATATCGTCCGGATTCAAGATGACGATTTTGTAGTCGTGGAAGCGAACAATACTCTTGCCGTGAGTTTCTACATCTAATTAAGATCTCTGATTTCAAAATTTCAGGTTGAGTCCATCAAATTCTCTTCGAAGCGTCCCAGTGTGATTTTTGTCGTTTGGCCTCTGAGTAAGTTATCACTCGGAAAAATAAAATAAAAACCTCCATTTTCTTGCAGATTTGAGTGAATGGAACGCGGATCGGACGAACAAAAGGGAGCCAAGAGTATGGGTACATCCGCGAAAGTACGTGAAAAAATGGGAGACACGCAAGAAGAAGAGAGTATATAAGAGAAAGGCCAAAAAGGAGAAGTATGATGAGGAGCCAGCGCAAAAAGTTGCGAAGAAGAGGTAAGTGTGTTCTTGTAGATTTCAGAAAACCAAATCTCGACATAATCTCGGTATTCCGGCACCTAAAGTGCATGCTTCCGGCTCCGCTCGGCTCGGCTCGGCTCGGCTAGGCTCGGCTAGGCTCGGCTAGGCTCGGCTAGGCTCGGCTAGGCTCGGCTAGGCTCGGCTAGGCTCGGCTAGGCTCGGCTAGGCTCGGCTAGGCTCGGCTAGGCTCGGCTAGGCTCGGCTAGGCTCGGCTAGGCTCGGCTAGGCTCGGCTAGGCTCGGCTAGGCTCGGCTAGGCTCGGCTAGGCTCGGCTAGGCTCGGCTCGGCTAGGCTCGGCTAGGCTCGGCTAGGCTCGGCTAGGCTCGGCTAGGCTCGGCTAGGCTCGGCTCGGCTCGGCTCGGCTAGGCTTGGCTAGGCTCGGCTAGGCTCGGCTAGGCTCGGCTAGGCTCGGCTAGGCTCGGCTAGGCTCGGCTAGGCTCGGCTAGGCTCGGCTAGGCTCGGCTAGGCTCGGCTAGGCTCGGCTAGGCTCGGCTAGGCTCGGCTAGGCTCGGCTAGGCTCGGCTAGGCTCGGCTAGGCTCGGCTAGGCTCGGCTAGGCTCGGCTAGGCTCGGCTCGGCTAGGCTCGGCTAGGCTCGGCTAGGCTCGGCTAGGCTCGGCTAGGCTCGGCTAGGCTCGGCTCGGC